TACAAATTCATTCTGACCCCCACACATATTCAGAGATTCCCTTTTATCATACCTGTTGCTAATTTCAGTGTTAGCCTAATATGAGGACAAGGGAGTTAACAACTTTTTCTGTAGTTAAATTCCCTAGTCTAGAGGTTAAATGTTGCTTATATTTCCTGTTTGCTCCCTAATTATTTTTTATATTCCCAAATTATCTGGGCTTTGAGTTCACGAGGAGACAGATAACTTGGAAGAAGCCACATCGTAAGGCCATGTACATTTGTGAAAGTCTGAAGACAGCATTAAGTGAGACATCCAGAGATGCTCGGGTAGATCAGATGAAATAAAACGGGGAAGCAAGGTGTTTAAAAATAGATGCATTGAAAAGTGGTGGCTGTAACAAGAGAATCTGGTGTTTTGGGTTTGATACATAAAAGTGCACTTTCCTCCACTGTTTATAAGACTTCAATTCCAGATTTGCTATTTAAAGGTGGTAATTCAAATTTTGTTGTTGTGGCAATGGTGTCTAGGGAATTATACTTGCATTTTCTTAAATTGTTAAATATAAATATTTCTATTATGGGGAGAGCTTGTGAAGCAGAATGTTTTATATTGCTTGGTAACTTTATCTTTAAAAAGGAAAAAAATTGTTTGATCCTCTCTGCCTCAACAAGACTGAACTGAACTGTGGTTTTGTGCTTAGTATATAACTCATCGCTACACTTGAGCGTGATTTCAGGTTGTTAGTTTAAGACTTTCCTGTAAAGTGGCTTTTACATAAACTTAACTTTTAGTGTTTATTATCACTAAGATTTCACTAACTAAGTGAAATATTTCTGAGTATTATGGAATACCTGGAAATTTTATTTTATATTTAAATATATAAAAATTACATCTGCCGTGTTTTACGGTATATGTAATTTTTAAAAACTTGAATAGGTGTAGAGGTAGTCACTATGTGAGTCAATTTTTCCTACTTTGTTCATGATTTTTAAAAACTTAAAATTATATGAATAAGTGAAGGCCCTCTACCATGAAATTCCTCGGGAGTGACTCCCTGGACTCAGACCCCTTTTTCTAGTTTGCCTCCTGTTTACTGAAGTAGCAGCCTGCTTCTCTTTCTGCCTTTTGGCATTTCATGTGTGGTGAGTGTTGGTGGTTTTGTGGCAAACAAATGTGATTGTTGATTTTAGATTTCAGGCCTCATTGAAACCTTCAGTTACTTGACCAGAATGGTGGTGATAATTTCTCATGTGTGATGTAAATTTGGACTGTAGTACAATTCAGTTCTTGAATCAGAACTCCAATTCAGGACTAGATTGGTAGCAGGGAGGGCCCCTCACCATGCCCCCAAAGAGTAAGTAATGTTCACTTTGGCTCGTTGGTCAATGCCAATACAGAAAATTTTGTCCTTGTTTGGCTTGAATGTTGATTTTGTTTTCACTTAAGGATCTTTGCTTTCATAAAAGCTGTAGCATAGTAACACTGAGATATATAATACACTCATTTTCTACATTCTTAGGCAACATGAACATTGACTCATTAGGGTAAATTTTCAATTCTGCTTATTTTAAAATTACTTTTAAAAAGTTCAGTGTTTTCTGAATATATGGAAAGTATCTCTCTTACCTCTTAAAATACAATTAGTAGTATCATTATCTTATTATATATATGCACACACACACACACACACACACACACACACACACACACACTCTTTTCCCTAACAGTTTGTGCTTTCATTGCTTGTTTGATCATTTTTCATGCCTAAATTTTGTAACCTGAACTACTATTTCTAACAATATGTAATATATTAATTAGTATTAAGTTGCTGCTATTTTTTAAAATTCTATGATTTCTATCCGTTTTGTTTTACTTTTTAAAATAAAAAAATTAAAAAAGATAAAATACAGAGAATTTATTGTTAAAAAGACATAAAAGTAGAGATTTATAAATGATTCATCCTTTTATCCATAATGTATTTTCAGACTTCTAGTTCTAATACACAGACATGCTCCACTTTTTCTTCAGATTGATAGTTTTTATGCCCTGTGAACATGTTAAGATCTTTTATTAATTATTACAGCATAAACTGTTAATTTCTTTGCCAAAAAGTCTTAACATTTTATGTGCTGAAAACAGTTTGTCTTAAAATTTTATTTATTTTTTTTTTGTGAAAATAGTGTAGTGACTTGTTTATAGAACAACATGGTTAAGAATAAATATTTCTATTTTAGTGGTAACACTGGGTGAGTTTCTGGAAAGTATAATGACTAGAGACACTTGAAAATATATGCTACTAAAAGACAATATTAACCCAGTCCAGTGACATTTTAGAAAGCATTTAAAAAACAATGTATGCACATATATGACATGCATAATAATATATTCTAAAACTATTAAATTTAACTTTTCTCTGTTCATAGGGTACTTACCTGCTGTGTGTAACTACTGTGTATAACTACTGTGACAGGGTCTATGAATAAGGCCTTAAGTAATTGCACATACATTTAGGAACATAAAACTATAAAATTTTCACGATTTGTTTCAGCATCCTGGTTTAGCTTTTGAGCTGGAAATCTAAGTATTTATACTTGCAGACTTGGCATTTCCCATTTCCAGCTGTCTGATTTTGACAAGTTATTTGTTACTAATAAAAGGACAGTAAGTAACAGTACCTACTTTGTAGATTTTTGCTCAGTAAGCATCAGTTGTCACTATAATTATTGTTACTGCTATGCTAGTGATAAAAGATGTTTATATTCAGTGTGATAGCTTTATAGCATAAGCTCTCTACTATTGATGGTAATTACAAGACTAGGTATCTTGAATGTTAAGTATTTTCATAATTATATTTTTCTGTTTAGAAGAATATTTTTTTCTCCCCTCCCAGTGAACAATATTTATTGAACATGAGCCAAATAATCATTTTTGGATCTTTCCAAATCTTTTAAACTAGTTCAACTTTATTATGCGATTATAATACAACTTTGCTCAGTTTCCCTATTGACATGCATTTGGTGGTTGCATTTTTCATTATTGTTACCGGGAAACTATTTTACCCTTTGTGTCCTTATTTTGCATTTTAAGGTATATAAAGCAGATATCTTTGTTGTTTGGCTAAATCATTGGATATGTTCCTTTAAACTACAAATTCACAGAGAATATTTCCTTTCACAAGTTACTTTTTTCACTCAAAAGCAATAGTTGCTTTTGTCATATTTGCATTTTAATTCTTAGAAAAGCAAATAACTTTTTTATATATTAGGCTATTTCAATTTTGTTTGATTGTGTATTCACTCCCTTCCTGCATTTTTTCCATTTACTGATCTTTAAAGGCCCTTTATTAGATGTGTTTTCTCTTCTCTGTGTGACAAACATTTTCTCAGACTTTTCCCCTTTGTTTATGGTATGTTTTCTCAGGTATTGTAGTTGTTTTCATCTTTAGACGATCAGATCTGTCCCACATTTCCTTGACAGCTTATGGATTCAAGTCATTTTTTAAAGGTTTTATTTTCAAGACTATAAAGTAGTCCACCATATTTTCTTTTAATAATCTTACAGATTTATACATTTAATTTTTTTATCTCTTTGGAGTTTAAGTCCATTGTGAGGGAAAAATTAAACTTTATTTTCTTCCTAATATACAACCAAGTGCTACTAATGGGCTCTTCCTGAAAATAAAATCAGTTATGACTATTAAAAATTATTAATTATATAATGAGTATTACTGAAGATTTATAATTGCTAACATGTTAAATATTGTACGTATATTATTCTTATAATTATACAGATTTTATGAATAAGGCCTTGAATAATTGCACATATATTAATATTTATAATTTTTATAATTATTACCAATTTTAATTCTTATAATTACCTTCTTTATTTGGTTCTGTGTTATTATATACTTTACAGATGAGTAGAATCACTCCATAGTGATCTTTAGCAGTTTGGTAGAGTTTATGCAAGCATAGAGTGATAGAGGAGGCAGGACCTGGATCTACAAAGCTTTATTCCAGAACCTGCTACCCTTATTACTGTATTATGCAGTTCCATTTATGTGGCTTTTTGGACCTCACACCAGGGTGACGTGCCAGTGTTAACAGTGCTCTGCATCTGGCTGGAGGGCTCCTCTTTCCCCTGCTCTTGGCCTGTCTCTGCCCTTCTTATTTCATCACTGAGGCCAGTGTCTCTGATATGCTGGGCAGTTCTGCAGGTATGCTTCTGTGTTCCAGAACCGAAACCTCTTCTACCAAATGGAAGAGGATGGAAATTTGAACACAGTCTGAGTTGCTTTTGAATGCATTGTTTCTAATATTAGTTGAATACTACATGGCATGCACAAGGGTCACTTTAAAATATTCCTCAATTTAAAGTTCTATGGTAATAACATACCATGCTATTTTCCAAATGAAATTTCTAAATAATCAACACACAGAATGTGGAGTGTTTCAAAAGAAATGAATACGAAGGTATTTTTTCCCTAGTTCTCTGAAATATTGTGCTTTTTAAATTAATATTTATCTTTGTAATCTTTTCAGATAAGCTTTCTCTCTCCCTAAATTCTAGCATTAAAAAAGTGTCATAGATAAGAATAAGTTCTAGTGTTTTATTGCACAGCAGGGTGACTACAGATAATGAGAAGGTCATGTATATTTCAAAAAACTAGAAAAAAGGATTTTAGATATTTTTACCATGAAGAAATAAGAAATGTTAGAGGAGATGAATATGGTGAGCTTGATTAAATATTATCTAACATGTACAATTTTTATGTCTATTTAAATTATGTAAAAATGTAATAATTTTAAAATTTTGCCATAAATACATATAAAGAATGAAAACCTGTGACAGATTTCAGCAGAATTTCTACTAGAAATACTATTTGCATTGGATTATAGTAAAATTCTGGAGAGTCATCTGAGTTTATTTCTCTGTTTAAAAAAAAAGTCCAGTTTATGACTGTGGGGTTCCAGACTCAGACCTTTTCTTACCCGACCTTTTCTGGTTTGCTGCCTCAGTCCTCAGGAACCAGTATCACGGTGGACATTGCTGTGATGGGCGAAGCTCACGGTCTCATTACCGACCTCCTGGCGGACCCTACTCTGCCCCCAAATGTGTGCACATCCCTGCGGGCTGTGAGCAACCTACTCAGCACACAGCTCACCTTCCCGGCCATCCACAAGCCCAGAGCGAACCCCATGATTTCCTTCAGTGAAAACTACACCTGTTCTGATTCGGAAGAGAGCTCTGAAAAAGACAAGCTCGCCATTCCCAAGGTAGGTGTTCATGACATGCTCCCTAAAGGGTTAAACTTTCTTATCTCTCAGGTTTCCCCTGGTCACTCCAAGCCCATCTGCAGATTCATTGGTATCAGTGAAGGGCTGCTAGAGGTGACAAAAGTAATAAACCACTCAACATAAACACTTGTCTCCTTGTACTTCATACCTCAGTGTAAACAGAAAAATTTACCCTCTAATGTTACCTTCTTTATTGAAACTCTCATGAAATTTGTATGCCCACATGCCAACCTGTGTTCATAAGGCCATAAGAATATTGTAACAAAATCAAGAATAAGCAACAATGTCTCTTATATATTCTAGTATGGATTCTGTTTAAAATCAACTGCTTTTTTTAAGACTGAAGATTCCTTTGCTTTTTTAATTCTTAATGTGACATAGTACAAAATCTTTAAGTCTCTAATACATGCAGTGTGGATTCTGTTTAAAATCCATTGCCTTCTAAAACTGAAGATTTCTGTGCTTTTTAAATTTGTAATGTGACATCACACAAAATACGGATTTCTCAAAAAACAAGGTTTGAATTCAGAACAATTTTAGTTATTTACAGATCATTCAAAGCAAAAGATAGCCTTACTGACTTATATGCAATTCTTTTTTTTCATGTATAAATTGAGCCTCCTTTATCAAAAATCCATAACCAGAAATGCTCTAATATCCAAAACTTTTGAGCAATGACATTATACTTTAAAAAGTCAGTAATTTAGAGTCTTTGAGTTTTGGATTATGATTGCTCAAGTTGGAAAATCCATGCAAATGTTTCACAATTTAGAAATAAAAAATCAAAAGTGGAATCATTTCTTGTCCCAATCATTTTGTATTGTCACCAATTCACTTCTAACTAAAAGCTCTTTTCTTTCCACAATATTACATAAAATTTATTGATATAAAACATGCTTGTTAAAATCAACACTCCCTCCTAGCGCCTGAGGAGAAGTTTACCACCAGGCTTGTTGAGACGGGTTTCATCAACCTGGACAACTACCACCTCAGCCACAGGCCTGCCCACCTTGGAGCCTGCACCAGTCCGGAGGGACCGTAGTGCCAGCATCAAGCTACATGAAGCACCTTCATCCAGGTAAGACAAGGCTCCAGCTGGTTTCCTGTATCTCTGAGAAGTTACATACTATAAAAAAATTGCAAATGAAAAGAAAGGCCCAGCCAGTTACAGTTGGTTGGAGGCCAGTTTTGAAAATAGAAAGGATTTATAGTTTCAATGCAGAACAGGTTAGAGATTAATGCTGGATAATGTTTTAGCCACTTTCCTGTCACTGGGACAGAATACCAGAGGCCCACAATTTAAGGGAAGACAGGTTTACTTTGGCTCACAGTTTTAGTCCAGGATTGCTGGCTTTAGGGTTGACACACCTTGATAGAAGGATATAGCAGAGGAAAAATATTAAATGCAAGGCAGTCAGAAAGCAGAGCGATTGGGCTGGGGATTTAGCTCAGCGGTATAAGTGCCTGCCTTGCAAGTGTGTGGTCGTGAGTTGGATCCCTGGTATAGATAAAAACGAAAAAGACAAAAAAAAAAAAAAAAAAAAAAAAAAAGAAATCAGAGCTATAAGGGAGGAGCCAGGGACAAGAATACAGCTTCTGTGTCACACCGCCAGTGTCACACCTCCTACCAGGCCCCACTTCCTGAGAGCATCCAGGGATGTACCCACTGGTGAGTATAACACCCTAATGACCCACAATCACACTCTAAACAGTAAGAATTTGGAGGGATGTTTTAGTTTTAAATCATAACAATAAAATGGGCTCAAATTCTGTAGTTTGGCCTTAGATACAAGGGAGAAGAGTGACCCAAGATAGTCACCAGTCATTGTCACCTTTAATGGAAAGGGTTGAGCACTCATTAAAGGTAGGCTAAATTTTGCCTGCTCTAAGGTTCAGTCCATCCTGAGACCCTTAAATCAAAGGCATTCTGCTTGACATGTGCAAATAATTGTTAAGAGTTCAGCTTCACAGACAATTTGTTCTAGCCTTGTAGAAAAGGCAAGAAAGTAAATCAAAAAGCACCTGCCTGCCAAGTGCAAGATCCTGAGTTTGATTTCTGATACCGAAAACATATATATATATATATATATATATATATATATATATATATATATATTAGTTACTTTGTAAAATTAGAAAATACAAATATGTATGATTTTAACTTTATTTGTATTTTCTAGTTTTACAGAGTAACCAAAAAGCTAGAATTTAATCTAAAGATGAGACAATATACAAATCTGAAAAGAATTTTGAAGAAAACATCTGCTAAGAAAAAGTGCTTTTAGAGGGAGCTATTGTATTTCTTTTCTAATTAAAATATAAATAGTATGCTTTAAATTCAATGCTGTCAAAAATGTTTATCATATAATTTCATTTTTTGAAACATATATATATATATAATGATTCAACAAAATATATATAATATATATTTTCGAGTTACAAGATCATGATATCAAAAGTAATTTTCTCCTTGTCTTGTAATATAAATAAAGAAGGTTGGCAGAGAAATAGATACCTTCCAAATCATAAGAACCTAATGACTCCTGACTTTTCTTAGTTTCTTGATTAAAAGTGTTTAATTGGTCTCTTCCATATTTATGTTTATGTTTCAGTGAACCTACCGAATCAAAAGTAAACTAAAGCAATTCTGTCATTTATCAGTTCAATGCCATTTTATTTTATTAAGTTTTGTAAAATTCCTTAAATGCCACTACAGAGGGATGTTATATTCAGTTTTATGAACATTTCCTAAAGATTGAATTGGTAATGTTTTCCTCTACAAATGTTGGCTATTGTCAATTCTTATAGCATAATATACTGCTGAAGAGTAATTAATAGTATTATAGTTAAATGTATTTAAGAAAATTATGTTCTCAGTGTATCAATAGACTGGCTTCTTTTTTTATTTTAGCAACACCCCCTGCCAAATTTTCTGTCATAGTATAATTAATGCTTCATAATTTTCTTTCTATAGAATAATTCAATGAAAAAAAATCCATTCAGCCAGTCTTAAATATCTTTTTGCTTTCTGCTGTTCTTTATTGCTTGGTTAACTCTCATTTCTCCTATTCTTCTCTTCAGGCTGAAATTGAAATCATAACTACAAATAAGATTCTAAGAAATTTTAGGAACTTAAGGATACGATTAGTAGCTTAGCACCTGTAAATTCCTTACAAAATAAATACTTACACTTAGATATTTTCAGTAAAGACAAAATACTACATAATGCATTCATTCTCCTTCCCCTAAGAATAGTCATAGATGTCTTGCTTGGCTATGATTTTTCCTACTATTTACCCCTCAATTTCATTGTCCTATAAAATCTGAAAGTGATACAACTTTTTTGTCTTGCAACCAATTTATTTTGTTAAGAGAAAACCATAAATTAGTAAGTGCGCAGTTGTCTCTTGGCTATAAACCCAAGTTAAAACCCTCTTCACATGGAGATTTATTATTCAAACTGTGGATTGACTTGCAAACTGCTTTGAGTTTTAGCCCTGAAATTTCCTTAAGTCCTATTTTCTTCCCCTTCCATATTTGTCCTTTCCCTGGAGTACTTTGAGGATTACAGTGATCAAAAGAAAAACCACAAAAAGTAAAAATTGTAAACAGTCCATACCTTATATCTCTAGGTATGCAGCTGGATAAGTTTCTCCTAGGAGATTGTAAATACAGTCTGGTAAAAAAGAGAAAGAACTGAGAATCAGAAGGATCTGGACCATGCAGACATTAGCAGGGCTGAGCCTCCATACCCGCGATAGGGAATAATGAGGAGAAGAGAACTTCTGCGTAATTATAGGGATAAATTAGATGGAAGAGTAGAAGTAGGTGCTTAGAAAAAGGCTTTCGAGAAATAGAAAAAAGGATGACATACATCAGACCCTAAATCTTTTAAGTTAATCATGGAACTGACTACCGCCTGTGTATATGAGACAAAAAGGAAACTGTAAACTTTGTAAAAAAGGTTGCTACCTACTCAGTAAGACTCCGAGGATTTTAGATGGGGTTGTTGTGGGGATAAATACAGGTATAAAACCTACTTTGGTGCATAGTGTTGAGATTCTTCCTTTGTAGCCTCAGAGATAGTTGTCCTCTGCTTATGAGCATTATAAGTAAAATTTTTCTTAAACTGTATTCATCTCCAGAATCCAAATTTTGACTTATAGAGAGGAATCAGTAAGCGAAACTCAATGAAAAGTATAGACTGTAACAGTCATGTAAAACAATTTTAAAAAGTGCTTATGAACTATAATGCATTTTATATTTTTAATAGCATAATAAATTAAAATTATGTAGTATTAAAATGACGTACATATGGCAAGTCTTTTGTTTAGCTTGGTATCTTCAAATCCCTTTACATTAAAGGTAGTCATCTGTCATACTTTACAAACTTTGCAAAATAAGTTCTTTTTAAATGTTTTTATTTGAAAAAAAAAAAAAAACCCAGGAATACTTTTGGAGCTAGTCTTTGTAATAAATATTTTTGAGGTACTAAAAGTGATGTTTGAGTTTTAGCTTTTGAAAGTCTACATAGAAGTATAATGATTTATACATTATTTGATAGCCTAAAAATTAAAATATTTACACTACATATGCATGACATAAAATTTATTCACAGTAAATCTTATTATCAATTCATCAGTGCAGTAAACTGAGTTAAGAAACTGGCACCAGGGGCTGGGGATTTAGCTCAGCGGCATAAGTACCTGCCTTGCAAGCAGGCGGTCGTGAGTTCGATCCCCGGTACCGATAAAAAGGAAAAAGACAAAAAAAAAAGAAAAAGAAACTGGCACCAGAAGGAAATAGTTAGTTAGTTATCTATTTTCGACTCAAAGTTTGCTTTGATCTTATTATTCCCAGAATTTCAAGCATTTGCGAAATGCCTAGGATGAGATTTTTAAGAAGGACATGAAACAAATACTCTATGTGCTTTCAGTAATTGTTTTTTAATAACTACTGAAGTTCATTCCACTTTTCAAATGTTCCTTTTATGATAGATATAATAAACTACCACTAGAAGTAAGAAGAAACAGGCGACATTTTTAAATACCTGGATCGATGATTCAAAAAAAATCTCTCCAAAAGTGAAAAAGAGAGAGAGAAGAAATGACATACGATACAAGTATCAGACCATAGTATCAGCCTCACCACAAACTATAGATTTTATTCATTGCCTAATATACTGATAATCAAAGGACGTGGTCATAGCAAAGCACATACTCATGCGTTCTTCCTGTTGCGAGATCTGATACTAGTGTATGTTAGCTAAATGTCCTTCTATTCCATGTTAGCAATTGTTCTGGTTTGGATTTAATATTCAAGGTTCTAAATAAAGCATGCATAATATTATCAACACAGAGAGAGCCATTTTGGCTATGGAGCCTCTCCAGATTATACTCCATTAATTACACAGCTTACGTGTCAATCTCCATATGTCTGTGATCCCATATTTCTATCAGTTTCAGGTTTGTTTGCAGTAAGTCACCCAAACCAGACACATCCTGCCTACAGTGCCAATCTAAGATTGGCAGAAGATCAAGTTGTGAGATTATTTTCATGCAAATTACATATTTTACCCAGGGTGAAACTTACTAATGCTTAAAAGGACACAAGTGCTGGCAAAACAAAGACCAAACCCCTTTCCCTGTAGCAGTTCAAGAGTGTCAACACAGCTTCCTGAACTCTTTTCTCTCCTAAATTAGGATGAATTCTGTTCCAAATTTAACATGGAGCAAAATTTTTACTTGGAATATCTCCAAATTCATATCCTACAGTTTATATAACATTCTTCCATAGATCTATTAATTCTAGATTTATTTGTAGTAAGCAATTTAGACAAACCAAAGACCTAGAAGACTGACTGTTACCTTTGTCATAATAGATATTAAACATGTTTACCATCACGTCTGTAACTTGTGTGTTTAAAAGAGAATTGGCCTCTTCTTTCCTGGGTATCACTAGTAATAAAAAATTACAGGCAAGAGGTCTAATGCTCACTTTTTCTTTCATAAGAAAATACTGCAATAAAACATTTTGAAGGGGTTTTATGAGGATTTAATTTGTGAATATAGATTCACCAAGAATAATACATAATAAAGAGCACTGGTTTAAGCATTATGATATAGTTCATATATCATTATGATATAGTTCATATATAGTTAAGCATTATGATATAGTTCATATATAGTTCCACCCATTTTTTTTAGCCAATTTGCAAGATTCTTTTAGAAAATTCTGAGAGAAATTTCCATATGACTTAGCTAAATGGACAAGTTTTCTATTTTGTTAACTAGTATTCTTGATGAGTGATGGATACATCCCTGCAACAGAAACTGAGCCTGGATAACATGTTTTGTCATTTGGAAGTAAAGTGGTCTATCTGCCTAGACAATGCTTAGATTATGAAGGTGATATTTAGATTCTGGCAAGATTCATCCATTAATTAACAAGATAATGTATTTATTTGTTTCTTCAAATCTTATCTTTACAGTACTGTTAATCCTGATTCTTGGAATAGCTCTGTGATGATGACCCTTACCAAAAGCAGATCCTTCACCTCATCCTATGCTGTGTCTGCAGCTAACCATGTAAAGGCTAAAAAACAAAATCGACCAGGCAAGTAACCTACCGGGGAAATATGCTCCCACTCTGAAAATGCAGTCAGAAGGCAACCAGCTCTGAGTGTGGAAATATTCTGAGGGTGCTCTGCACTCAGATGTCTTTGACGTGACTGTTTAATGACAAAGCACTGGAGTGGGGATGTAACCCAGTGGTAGAGCATTTACCTACCATGCATAAGCTATGGGGTTTCATTACCAGTACTGCTCCCTATCACCCCAAAAAGAAAAGGAAGCAACAATGCAAAGATGAAAAAAACTTGAATAACTAGTAAGTAACTAGTGACTTAAATTTCTACTTTGTGTGGTGATACAGATCTCTGGAAGTTGCCATGCCAGATTTCCTATCTTGAAATTACTGGGTTAATGAGAAATAAGTGTCATACTTCCTCATAATCTCATAGCGGATCATCTTATAAATTTTCAAGTTTATTTTTAGACTTCAATGAAAATTACTTTTCAGGAATATGGTATTTGTATTAGTTGGAAATACTTCATTTACTATACATGAGTCATCATAAGGAATTTAGATGTCAATTTTAAGAATGATAAAGTTTAGGTAGGAAAATAAAAAGCTCAGCAAAAGATTACCTTATTTAATTAAAATTTCGGTGGACTCAAAACTGGGATACAGGTTTTTGTCAAAGTCTGCCTCCGAATTACTCTGCTTGTAGGATCTCAACGGAAAGCCTGAGGTGTTCACTCTGACCTCAGCCTTTTTAGAATTAGACTACTAACTTCCTCTGTTTACTTCTCAGACTGTAGAAAACCGTCCTGAGGTTTTCAGTTACTTTCTGCTGAGTTTCTGAAAGTTGTGTCATAAGCAGGATAAAAATTCATCAGATGGCCCAAGGAGAAGCTGCCCTGTTTGGCGGAGATGTTTGACATGCCAGTCTTGGCTGCCATGGCAGCCTCAAAATCCAGTTTCTTCGTCAGCACTCTCATGACATTGCTAAAAGCTCTGCTGGCATGCCTGTTTAATAGCTGCCCCTTCTGCCTGGTTTCTCAGCCTCCTGCTCCCTGCCAATAGTCAGGAAATAATGCTCCTGGGGGAGAATGGGTTGCAGCAAGTTGGCCCAGTCTCAGAGGTACTTTTCTCTCTGGGAACCTAGTTCCTCAGAATTCTGCCTTGAGAATACTTTCTTTCTTTTTTCACCCACAGCTTTTTCTATTCCTTTTTTTTTTTTCTTAATCAGTACTAGGGATTGAACTCATGACTGCCTACTTGCAAGGCAGGCGCTTATGCCGCTAAGCTAAATCTCCAGCCCCAAGCTTTTCTTTTCTCAAAGAAGCATGAGGTCACTACAAATGACTGCATTTTCACCAAAAACACAAGTCACCCAAAGGGCAATATTTATATGAGAAACCTGTGTAGGTTGTTTTTCACTAATATTCTAGAACTTGAAATATGAACTTTAAACTTTAAAATGAGCAATTTAAGGAAGCACCACTGTTGTTACATCTAGATAAAAACATTTAGTACTTTTTCCTTTGACCTACTTTATACTGGGTAACCATTCCTTGGTATCATTACCTAATGTACTTAAGTCTCTATTGTTCTGCCTAGGAAGACACGTCCTCCAAAAGGTACAGTTTTACTGGAATTCCATTTCAGAAAGAAACCATTAAAGGTAATCTGGTCTTGCAACAATAATCTGGCCCTCTCTGCTCTGGAGATGTTCATTAAACTTTATAACTTAGAAGTCCTTAATGAGTTAAGAAATAAAATTGAGCTTTTACTAGGAACAGGCAATGTAGGATAATGTAGGCAAATACTTCACTGAGATTGCCCAGAGGGGAAACACAGATTAGCTGGGTAATGAGGAGACTCATTTGGGATTCCAGGAAAGTGGAAGAACTAAATTTGAGAATTCCACAGAACAAGACAGTCTTATAGGAGTATTAAAATGGCCCTAGTTTGTAGGACCTCTTTCTCCTCCTACAAAAATCTGAATAATTACCAGTTAAGAACCATGAGATTTTAAGAGATCAGATTCAAACATGGAATGTACAACTGTCATCCCTACATGAAAAAGAAACATCGTAAGTTGGAGTTAACAAGTGCAATAACAGTAAACAAATCTTTCTAGAGATTGAATATGTACTGATTCCCAAAGATGAATGTAATAAGCATAACAATAAATAAAAAGAATGTTTTTCACTAAAAGTGTTTATGATGAATATATTCTAGAATGAAAAATGATAGCAGGAAGTCTGAGATCTAATAAAAGTTGAAATAAATTTGAAAAACAGGTTAATCCAAGCAAATATTACATGCATATGTATTATTTCCAGATTTGTGGGTAGTTTTGTTGTAGTGGCTGTTGCTATAGTATTTTGGTGTCTTTTTTCTTCCAAGTACTGTGGATTAAACCCAGAGGTACTCTACTATTGAATTACATCCCCAACCCCTTCTATGTTTTTTTTTTTTTTTTAAATCTTGATATACGATCTCACTCAGTTACCCAAACTGACCTCAAACTTGGAATTGTCCTGCTTCAGATTCCTGAGTAGCTGGGATTACAGGTATGCTCTGTCATGCCTCAGTTTGTTGACAGTTTTTGAAAGGTTTCCTCTTTTTAAGAACAGAATCAAAGTACAGAGCAATAACTTGTAACTTAAGGGATAAAATATGAATTTCAATATCCTGTTCTTTTATAGAGCAGGAAGGAGAATCAGGTGAAGAAGTTGAGGTACAGAAAGCTTAAGTAAGTTGCCTAGGGCCCCATAGTTTTTCAGTTTTTCTTTTAGCCTCAGAACTATACTCAAAAAAAAATTAAGGGCAGCAAAGTAACATAATTTATAATTAGAATTTTGTGGTTCTGTCCTTGGGTGAATACAAGAAGGACTTGGGTTGATTTCTCTCTTTCTTTCTCTCTCTCTCTTTCTGATCTATTAGAAATTCAAATTAAAACTATGAGATAATAAAATGAAAACTATTAAATAATCCAACATAATAATGTCAAGAAACTGATAATCATGATTAGAGTAGACACTGAAAATAACTGAGCAAATAGTGGAACTTATATTCTTATATATTCTTGTTATCCTTCTCCCCAAGAGGTATGAGTGCATTCAAAGTTAAGGGCAAAGCATACAAGGAAAGAAAGCCTACATAAGATGCCCCAAAGGCTGATGATTGGAATTAAACCACAGGCGTATCAAGAACTCCTTTCATATTGCCATCTAGTGCACCAATATATTCATAATGATTATCTGAAAAGGGGAGTTAGCTTTGTGATAACTTCAGCCTGCTGTCACCAAACAGCTGTTTGTAAAATAACCTCTATCCCAAGCACACTGAACTCAGACAAATCTCTGAAAAGCTGCCAAAAGGTTGAAAAACATGTATCTAGAATCAGAGAGCTGAAATTAGATTTCAGTTCTTGGGCTGGATGAGAGCTTCATTTTCAAAACTCTTGTTTCCCTGTATGGATGGTAGGCTTGAGTCAAAGGAGGTTGATGTACCATGTTTGATGCAGCTGACCATCCTGCCACCTGCTATTCCAAAAATGCTGAAAATTAAAACAAACAGATACACTTCTTCATGTGGAATGAAGAGTACAAGCCAGTGGAGTGGGGTGTCAAGAGTCTGAGGATGAAGAAAGAGCTCTGGACAAAAAAATGGGAGACAGCAAGCACAAAACACAAAGCAGACCAAGAGAGAGAAATGACCTGTATCAGAGGGGACTAATGAATCTGTTCTTTGCACAGATCAAGTACACAGTGTGTCCTCTAGCTCAATCCATCAGTTTTAATTTTAAATAGCTGAAATGCATCCAATTATTATGCATTTGCTAATGTAAAATAAATGGTGAAATCACATAGGAGTACTCTGATTAAAGCATAAAAACAAGGATTTAAATATAATTTGCATTTTCAATCTTGCTTCTCCGGTGTGAGGCACTGACAGTGGGAAGCTACATGTCATCCTGCTTTGCAAATTCCTCCAATTCATAGGGAGTTCACAGTTGTCCTCGGTCTGGACTCATAAATATAAGTTTAAGCTGCCTATTACAGCGAACATGGATATCTCCATATCTGTAAGCTGGGCTGAGGTTTTCTTATAGAAAATTTTAAATGAGAGAAAGTTTTAATTATGGCTCTGTAACTTTTTTAGTTTTTGTTTGTTTTTGATATTTGCTTAACTTTAGATAACTTTTCTGTTTTGGGAAAATATTAAGACTGTTTTCTTGTGGGCATGAAAAGGGATGTGTACTTATTAGACAAGCTGACTTTTTTCTGGTTCAATTAAAATTTCACTTTCAGCATTTTACATTACAACAGTGTGAGTTATTTGAAGCTTTATGTTTCATATGCTTTGTCTTTTTCCTGGAATATCTTAAAATTAAATATCAAATGAGGACAAATATATTCAGGAGATTGCTTGTTCATCTGATCCTTCACATTTTTCTTTTCTTTCTGTAAATGTGTCAGTGAACAATGTAAAATTGGATGAAACTTTGCAAAGTCGTAATAGTGATCCCTAACTTTATAAGTGATTATACTTACAGTATCTTATAGAATTTGTTTGTAAAGACATTCTAAGAAAGGTTTTCCCCCCCTGGAAGAATACCCTTCTTATGTTGAAACTCAGTTACCTCTTTCTGGAAAGAAGGCTTATTTGGTGATTTTAAGTGAAGCCTCCCTAATTTGAAAATTCAGATCTGAGCATTTTGGATTTCCAGTTTTCAGATTAGAGATATTCAGCTGCTAAAGTCTATAAAAATATGTCAAAATCCAGAAACCTCTGATTCCTTATCCCTTGTATTTTTTTAATTTTAAATTTTATGCTGTTATCTCCTTAAAAAAATTGCTACTTCTCATGGTTGTTGCCAAGACCTATGTTTATAAAAGGAGTTCAAAATATGTAGACAGAAGTAATATAAAAGCAAACTGCTTTTTCTTTGTTACAGGTTTATTTAAAGTTTCATCCCAGGAGTCTTAAAGTCTGCTTATTGGTTTAAATTTAGTTAATCCCTGAGTTCCAAGATCCCTAAGGCTTGTGTGAATTTTAAAGTGTGTATTTAAGAGTGAACTGCCTGTTTCTCCCGCTATCAGCTGGCAGCTAGTAAAAATTAGCAGTGAAAACAAACACAGTTCTAATAAATTACCTTCAGAAAATACATTGTGTCAAGGGAAAATATGTCCATGGATTTTGAAATATATTGTAGTTCTACTTTAACAAAAATAGTTAAAAACCATCCCCAGATTCATAATTTTGGCATCAGAGTAATCAAGCAGTTGCCTAAAGCAAGTTTCACATTTTAGACAGAGCAATTAAAACTCACCTACAGAAGTCCATCTAGCCTTGCCCTGTCTTTCCTGTGTGATAAGCTATAGCCACAGACCCTCTGACCATCCTGGGTAAGACCTCTTTCTTTATACTTTCTGTAGTCTGGATGCCTTTCATTTCATCAGATTGTTCAAACTCTGCCCCTCAGGGAGTCTTTCCTATACTATCTGTGTATAAAACTCTATGTCCTCTACTTTCTCCATTCTTTTTCTTTACATCATTGGAAAATGTATGACATTTCTTTCCTTTCTTCTTCTTTATTGATTTTTATTTTGCCATTTCTGTCACTGCCAAAAGAATGGAAGCTACAGGAGAGCAGGGATGCTCTTTAGCTCGTTACTGGCTGCATCCCTGAGACAGCACACATAGTAAATATCTGTTAAATGAATAAATCACTGTGATTCTTAGTGCAGTTATTTTTGTAACTTTCTATACCAAGCTTAGCTCCTTAGTGGTATACAAGTTTTATAGGATCATATCCAGTATCTGTCTGACTGTTCTAAATTGGACCAGCCATGTCCAACCTTTTTTATATCAAAGCATCCAAAAAAGTGAAAGTAAATAAGATCCAAAACGTACCATAGATATTGTGAAAGTGAATGGGGAAGAAACTGCTCAGAAAGAAAGATCAACTGGGATCAGGGAAAGGAGAAAAGGAAGAAGGGAAAGATTATATATATACCTATACATATGTGTATATATATATGTGTGTGTATATATATAAACTTTTGTATTTGTGTATACACAAATACATGTATATATACATGCATATACACAAATACATAAGATATACATCCATGTGTGTGTAATATAGATGACAGATAATTCTATTACTAATTTCTTTTTGTGCTTTCATTCTTTGATCATATTTTTCATGACTGTATTTTGTAATCTAAGCAACTACTCTGAAGATAATATACAATATATTAACCATTGTTAATCTCCTGTTATTTTATTTTGAAATTCTGTCACTTTTATTCTTTATTCATTTTAAAATAAAAATAAATCACATTTGTGGGCCAGGCTTTAGCTCAGCAACATAAGCGCCTGCCCTGCAAGTGTGCAGTTGTGAGTTCGATCCCCAGTATCAAAACAAACAAACAAAACAAAACAAAAAAAAATCACATTTGTGAGTGCATGACAGTGTTAAATAATGAGAAGAACTAGGAAGAGTTTTAGAACTTGATAGGAATATAATTTCTTTATTTTATAAACAGAGTCAGATAATCCAATTATAAAAAGTTAGAGATATTATCAAAATTGACTTTTCAGGGATTTAGCTCAGCGGCATAAGCACCTACCTTGCAAGCAGGCAGTCGTGAGTTCGATCCCTGGTACCGATTAAAAAAAAAAAAAGGAAAAAGACAAAAAAAAAAAAAATTGAATTTTCAGCCCTCAAATAAAATAGTTTCTTTTTCTTTTTCTTTTTCTTTTTCTTTTTTTTTTAGTTTATAACTTTAAATTTCTTCAGAGAACACTTGTATTTTACTTGCCACATTCACCAATGCATTGGTTGGGAAATTCTGAGTTTAAAACTTTGTGAATTTTATTTTCTTTTGGCTCAGGAAGATCGGTCAGTGTCTTTGATAAACTAGCTCAATCTTTTTTGTCAAAACAGAAAATCAAAATAAAAACCGTCAGATGTAATAAAGAGCGATAGAAATGCTGCCTAATAGATCATGGATTTTTCTACTGCCTTGGGCAGGCTTGAGACTAGTATGGGCTACTAAATTACATTTTATTGTAAGAGTAACTGTGGTTATTCCATATTCTCTCACATACTAGTTCTCTCACATACTAGTATGTGACAATGTTTCTTAACTTCTCTGGGTCTAAATGGTTTCATTTGTTAAGTATAAAGGTAGGGAGGTTGATCTGTTAATCAGAAATCAACAAAAGAAATAGTAAGCAAAAGACTTGAAGGGTGGCTGCTGTCCACACTTAAAATAAGAATGAAATTTTCATCTTTTGAAACCAAACAAAAGAAATAACAGTGCTAACAAGATGTCTAAAAAGAAAAACACAAAAAGCCTTCTGCAAATTTAATATTCCTTTCAGTGGAGCAGAAAACCTTTTGGGTGTGACAAATCAAACTTTGAGGGCACTTGTCCTTGTAAGCAGTCTCCCTGTAAACCAGTTGCCAGTAACCACTCACATCTTTCTGTGATGTGTAGTTCCATAGCTGTAAATTTCCCAAGTACTGAGATAGAATGACTCTGGATAGATTCATGTCATCTGCTCTATAATAGAATGTTCAGTCATAGATCACGAAAATCAATAAGCAGGTAGTCCTTTAGAAGTTATATGTCTGTTCTTCTATTTTGGATTGCCAAATAGACACAGAGGCTGCTTACTCCAGGTTTGAGAGAATAACTTCAAGAGATAACATCCTTGTATCTAACCACAGTGCTTTGAAACTGAAGCTACTGTCTGCAATTCAGAGTAAACATGGCCAGCCTCCTACAATCACCTACACTTAAAATTAAATCTTTAAGCCTATTGTCTGATATCAAGTGGGTCCTGATCAAAGTGCCCGTTGCACATGAAAAGATCTAGTTTCACTGAAAATGTACATGGTTACTAAGTTTAATTGCCTTTCAAAGCATTATCTTCTTTATTTGCATATTTGAAGTGTTGGATACTTGCCACGCTGTGTTCTAGGTACCACTTAATCTTGGAAACAACAGAAAAATTGTCCCTACTAAAAACTCCCTAGCCTCAGAGAAGGCAGACATATGAGAAAATTTGAGCTGTTGTTTTCAAGTCAAAATGACAAGAAACAAAAATGGGAGGAGAAAATAATATCCTTCTGTCCTGAAGTTACTCCAGGACACCAAGTCTTTAGCGGGCGCTGCCAACATGGTTACCGATTTTTCATGATGATTCATGACTTGAATTTTATGCTGCAGAGACACCCCAACCACACACCCTGCCACCAGATGGGGGCATGCGGGGGAGATCAGCTTGGTGGCCTTCCTGTCCACAAGTTGTTTTTGAGTTGACTGGAGTGGAGAGGAAGTCTGGGGAGTTGCATGTTTGCATTTTCAAAGACATTTGTTTAGTGACTTCATAACTCTTTCCCAGGTGCCCTTGCTAAAATTTCACCTCTTCAGTCGCCCTGCTCCTCCCCTCTCCAAGGGACTCCTGCCAGCAGCCCTATCAGCAAAATTTCTGCCTTGCAATTTCCAGAATCTGCGGAGACAACTGCCAAACATGGTCCAAGTTCTCACAGGACTTTAACCTATACTCAAAGTGCCCCTGACCTGTCTCCTCAGATCTTGGATCCACCTGTTATATGTAGCAGGTAAGGAGTTGCATTACGAACTGGAGTTTAATAATAATGCCAATAATGATTCTCTCCATTTCCCAGACACACAGCTCAGTGCATGTTTGCCAGAGTAGTTAACAAGAAAGCATAAGATAATATGATTTGTATTGAACAGGCTTTAATACCAACTGAATTTTTCAATAGTGTTCTATTAATAGAAAGTTCATATTCCTTATAGTCCATAACACTAATCTTTAGAGATGGTACAAAATCAGTATTTGTGTGTTTTATCCCATTGCTCACTTAGAATGCATGGCATATATACCTTAAAAATTACATCGAGTAACCTGATTTGACCCTTCATTAAAATGTTTTTTATTTATTCTCCAGGGTGTAAACTGGTTTGCAAAATATTCACCTGAATTATGCATTTCCTATTTAAACATTTGGAAAATGTACAAATAGCAGATGCACATTATTGCTTGACTCAAGTAGTTCTCTGAATACAATTTAGCATTGTGTGTGTTATTCTATCATGTTAAAAACAGAATTACAAAATGTTAATCATGGAGAATAAAAAAAGAGAACTTAACATGCCTGAAGTAATTATTTTACCAATATTGTCATAATAAAAAATGTCCTCTTACTGATTGACATTTTTTAGTATCTTTTAATAATAGCCTCATCTTAGATCATTGACCTTGAAGCATTAAATATTTTTTGAGTACAAATTTGTTGAGCATTTTGAGTAAAATCATGAGTGTGCCTTCAAAACAATGTTTTTTTCTAAGGTTAATGAGGACCACTAATTGAATACATTAGTAGCATATTGTTTTTCTGATTATCAAATATTGGTTTATAGACCTAGGTTTTATTATTATATGCAGTGCTATCAGCTCACAACTGATATTAAACTTCACAAATTTCATTTTCTTACACTTTATGAACTTTTTGATAATTTTCCCTCACTGTTACAAAATCCTTTAGACAAGCCAGCTTACAGGAAGACAATTTGTTTCTGCTCATGATGACAGACATTTCAGCTTACGATTGCTTGTCTTTTTTGCTTTTGGACCTGTGATGAGACAGTACATCATGGCGGGCATTGTGTTTGGAGTAAACTGTGCACCGTACAGTGGCTTTCAGTGGAGAGTTGGGGTGAAAGGGAGAGGTGAGGAGGACTCACTGAGGTCAGGGTTCAATATTTCCTACTCAGTCACACCCCAGTAGGCTAACTTCTTCCCAGTAGGCCTCACCTTTAATGGTTCCTCCACCTCCTGACAGCATTCAGGCTGGCCACCAAGCCTTTAAGCTATGGGTCTTTGAGGGGAAGACTGCAGATTCAAACTATGTGGCACTCTTTTAAAGTCATTTAGTTTATGATCTTCATTGTTACTTCTCTCTTTACAGATATTTTTAAATTGAAAATCAATTTTCTTTCTTTGGCCAGAACCAGAGCAAAAACACATTCTTCCATCCAAAAAGTGTTAGCTCCCTGCATTTTAGTGTGTGTGTTTGTGTTGCTGTGAATTAAACCCAAAGGCCTCATTCCTGCTCACAAACACCCTTCGATTAAACTACATCTCTAGTCCTTAAGTCTGCTTTTTAAAAAAATAGACCAATTTCTATAGCATATTAATCCCTCTCCTAAGATATAGCTTGTATAATAAAATGTCTAAGAGATACATAATTGCTCCTTTTAGTGATTCACAATATATATTACTTTATTAAAAGTCCCAAGAAGTCTTGCTAAACATCACCCCTTGATTTTTGTTTCCTCTAGTGTTTTCTCAATTCATTTGACCACACACCCAATTTATTTAGGTTAGCATCCTGTAATTGCCTATAGATCGAGAATGAGGCAGGACACAGCGAAGAAGTGTTGTTTGTAGCCTGCACCCTGCACTAAGATAGGCAGCCTAGTGAAGTACCAGCTTCAAGGACATCAATGTCCAGCTTTCCTAGGGAGCACTCCTCTGCCAGATTCCATATTTTTGTGGGAAATAAGCTTCCTACAAAGAGAAAAGAGATATTCAGAAAAGACCTACCACTCTCATAGCTTTTCTTATCATATTCATGTGTATGCATGTGCGTGCTTGTGCATACGTGTGTGTGTGTGTGTGTGTGTGTGTGTGTGTGTGTGTGTGTGTGTGTGTTTAGCAGGAAGAATGTAATGAGATTTTTATAAAAGAGGTTTTAGGGAAAAACAAGGGGATTTCACTGTCTGCTTCTTCAGTAATGTTTATAAATCCAGTAGTATGTGTTTTATTTGTTTGGGCTTTATAAATGTATAATTCAAACCAGGTTTTATTATTCCCTTCAAGGCAGCCACCCATGTAGGCACAGAGAGCTCCAGAAACACATGACTAATTATTGTGGTTTCCCCTGCTGAACTCGAAGGGTTTGGCATTGAATCTCAGCCTCTTGGCTGCTGTAATGTCTATGCAACAAGCTTTTTTTTTTTTTTTTTTTTTTTTTTTTTGGCATAGGAGTTGGTGGATTTGAACCACTAATTTAAATACCCCTTTTAGGTATTATCTTGGAATAAAAAATCTTCAGACTTATGAACTCTACTTTTCTCAGTTGCATCAACCTCCTTTTTTTCTCTTGTTCTGTCATTTTCTTTTGGCTCCCTAAGGCAAAATGATAGGATTTTATCATTCGAAATACTTTATGTGTGATGCTTTTCTATTTACATTCAAAGGCAAAAATTTACTTAACATGAACATCTCTAGCTGGAAAATGCTTTTCTCTGCTGCACATACAAACACAATTAAGGACAAAAAGTGAACCACTTAGGATACTAAACAGTAAAATATCATTCATTTCTTCTCTTTTGAGAGTGGATAATTTGTAGTTAAATAACAAACAGATGAAAAAATCCTCTGAGACCCTTTGTAATATTAGGCAGGAGAAAAAAAAAAACACACAAAAGAACCTAGCAATAAAATGCAGAATTAAATTCTAATCATGACATGTCTAAACAAGATAAAAGAGAGAGCCAATAAATAATTTGGAACTTTGCTAAGCCACTGTGGTGTTACTTTTTAACTTACAAAACAGTCAAGGTTTTGGGAAAACAATATCTTCCATCCTCCAATAACCCTCTGTTATGGGACGCTGTTCACCTTGAACAACCTTCGTTTTATTCAGTACATCATTGGTCTTTTTGTTTGGTCAACCTGCATTGTATCCAGTCAGTCACGCATTCACTCATCACCAAAATGTCCCTATCTATTATTCCTTAGGGCCTTAGCAAGTAGCTGATCAATCTGAAAAAAAATAGCTTTTTAAAAATTTTGGCAAAAGTTTAATATCCTATTATTCCATGTCACCATATGTTGTCTTTTTTTTTTTTTTAATCTGTCAGGTTATAAAATGTCTTAAATCTGATAATGAGACTTCAAAGCAGGTATACAGGGATTCCATAATGCAAAGATAATTTCGACCAAATGTATATCAACACTTCCAAGACTACTACTATGCATACATGGGAGCCTTCCCGGTATGCTATAACTAAGGTTATATTTGCACCTCAACTCTGGTCTAAAGTAACAAGATTTTATCAGCAATTTCACCTTTGTATGGTTGAGGCTATGGAAGATGCAGATGAGAGTGAAATGAAGTTTTAATCCATTAAACTGATCATTCTCTTAGTGATCTCTTGTGAGTATCCATGTGTAAAACAAATGAGTCTTTCCACTAGACAGCTAAGTCGATTACAGAAATATTTTATTTATCGTGGTCTATCTTAATGTGCACAAAGATGGTGTGCACCTAGGATTTTTTGAAAAGAGAATGCTCTACTGACGGTTTTTCTGATTTCCCTCAGCTGTGGCAGACCATATTCTCAAGCGACTCCTGCTGACGGGCCCCTGGAGAAAAGTGGCGAGGCCACTCAGACATCCAGCCGAACAGGTAATGCATTGTGTTGTATTCCGAGTGTTCTAAGTGGAAGTTATTTCACTTTGTTTTGTTTCTCTTGATCCAAAAGATAACATGTATTCCCAATTGTAAGAAAGTTGTAAAACTTAAAAGATAAGAAAAAGTAATTAAAAATTACCGTTAACCCTACTATCTAGATTTAATCATAGTACAGTTTTGGAGCAAAGATGTCCGAAAGGTTTCTGTACATCTGTTTAGAAGTATATCCATTTTTTAAAGATGAAAAGATCTTTTGATAATATATAGAGGATGTAGAAATCATTTTATATCTTGCTGCTTTGTATACTGGAGGACCATAAATTTTAGCGTAGTCGCTAGAGCTCCCATCACAGACCCTGAGTGGTGACTTCTTTGTGTCACTGTTGAACATACCCCAGTTTTCCTTTGAGACCGCATGTTGCAGTGGTCCAGGCAAGGGCCGTACAGCATGGCTTACACCCTGATTCTGCAGCCTGCTTACCTGTAAACTTAATTGCCTTAGTTCAACCTTAGTTCTTTACCTGTAGAATGTATGAATACAGCAATGCCTCGGGTCACGAAAGCTTCCATTCATGAGTAACTCGATTTGAAAAGAAAAGCACTTAGCAAAATTTTGCTTCCCTTAACAAACTGCCCATCAGGTGAGGAACACAAAATGGCCAGCTTTTCTAGATTCTTGGAATGAATTAAGTTCAGGACCTGAGAGACCAATGTAATGATAGTGCCAACCACTGAATTATTTAAAGCATGTAAACCATTTACTGCTTGTTAGAGTGCCTATATATATGAGCTATATATTAGCTAGTGCTGCTGTTATTATAATAATTACCTTACTTTCATTGACACAGATGTAAGGACTTACTTTTGTTAAGCGGGAAGTACTCAAGGTAGAAAATAAAGCATCTATTACTGACTTTAGGGTGATAAATCTACCTAATTACAAACAAAATACTTTAGCATTTCTTGCTAGCCACTCAATAAATACTGACTGAGGTATTTTTTTCAATGGCCATATGCAAAGGTAAAGGGATATAAGCAAGGAAAAATTCAAAGGAGAATTCTCTGTTCTGTCATCTGATAGTGTAGCATTATGAATACTCTGAATATTCTGTTCTCTGTATCTCTGATCTTAATTCTATTGGGTCAAATAGAATGAGGGAACTATTTCACCATTAGAGCCTTTATGGCACTTGAGTGGGCTTCTTCATTTTTCTACAGATTCTGGAAGTGAAATTTGTTTCATTTTAATACTATGTCTAATTTTATGATACAACCAGTTGCATGAGAATGATGGAAGACAAGTAAGTCTTTAGAAAAATTCGATCAAATATTTCTGATGGAATAGGCTTTATAAGGCTTCTCACCAGCAACTTTAAAAAGAGCAAATTATATATATATATATTACTATCTAAATGTATATATGGTACTATCTAAAGCAATCTTCACAAAAGTGAAAAGTGGTCAAAGTTGGAGAGGATATATACTCCCTGACTTTAAGACTTAAGCTATAATAATCAAGAAAGTATATTGGCCTAAAAATCAGCAAGTAGATCAAATTAAATAGAGTAGAACTCACCAAATTAAATTTACAGGAACTCAATCATTTTATTTTCAGCAAACATACTAAAGCAATCCAGAGAGGATGAAAAAACTGAACTTTGCCCTTACTTCACACCATGTAAAACATTATTCTGAGACAGAGCATAGGCTTAACTTGAAAGCCAAACTGGCAAAGCTTCTGGAAGAAAACAAGGGAGGAGCTTTGTGATTTTTGATTAGAAAGAGATTTTATAGACCATAGGAAGCAATAACCATAAAAGAAAAGAAAATTAGACTATCAAATTCTAGTGCCAACACTTCCTAGCTATGTGGCCTTAGGCTATTTATTAATCCTTTTTGTGCATCAACTTCTTACCTGCAAAATGAATCTAACACTAATACAATAATACCTGCCTCAGGATGGGTGAGAGGCTTGCATATATTGGTAGCATAAGTAAAAGACTTTAAGTGGCACCCAGCCTGTAACAAGCAATCAGTAAACTCCATCCACGTACTTTGTACAGTTTTGAGGATCTTCTCGATGGCTTTGTCACAGAAGTGTGCTCTTTTGATGCTTGGTATTATCTGGTTGGTATTTTAGTGAGGAAAGTTTACTGATCATTGAAATAGGAGACAGTAAAGAGTGTGGGTGAGGAGAAAGTCACAGACTCCTAAGGAACAAATTGGGATCTGGCACCTCTGTGTCCTTAGCATGTGCTATGATATCACGTTGTGTATGCCACTTACTCCTGCGTGTGTTGGCTCTTCTGCCCATATGGCCATTCTAGAAGTAGTGCATTAGTTAGCCCTGAGTGGCTTAATGTATTGGTAGAGGAATAAAGGAACTAATATAAAGTCATGGAATGTTTTAAATGTACTACTGATCTAACAGTTATTACTGAGAAATTACTGCATGACATACATACAAAAACACACCACAGATTGCAATCGCCATCTGTTTTCCTGGGTTAAAAGATGCATTCTTTTTCCCAGCCTATGATTTTGTGTTCTTGTTGAGTGATCTCATGAAAGTAATGTTCGCCTAAACATAGTTAGTGACACAGTTTAGGGAAGTTTGCTTAGCTAAGATCTTTTCTCCATTGCAGGTCTCTTGATAAGCTGTTCTCTTCTCCATTGCAGATGACACTGCCCAAGTTACCTCTGATTATGAAACCAACAACAACAGCGACAGCAGTGACATTCTACAGAATGAAGATGAGGCTGAGTGTTCCAGAGAATCTCTGAGGAAGACGCTGGCTTGTGGCACCTACGGTCCTGAAGCCATGATATACCTGGTAGCCTCATGTCCCTCGCCTCATTTATTTACTTGAGAAATTTCCTTTTATTTGTTACCAAGTTTGCTTTAGAAATAGACCTCATATCATTTGTTTGTATATGTATCTTACTTAGATTCCACATATATTGTGGCTCAACCCATATGCATCATAACAATTTATTTTCCATCCAAACCTAGATCTCATCATGGTTATATCATTAGGTAATAATGGGATAAATATGAATCTTTATAAATGACTATAGAGATTTCATAACCTGATCAAAAAGCATAACTATGCATAGGAAAATGGCTTATGTGATGCAATTAAAATTTTAAGAAGCTATGAATAAAGAGGAAAAAAGATATTTTAGGGCATTTGCTATCAGTTTTTTTCTCCTTCAACACTTTCTTGATTTTGAAAGGGAGTTAGTATTTATTTTTCTTGTTATATTAAAACACATTTGTGTTGACATGGCTATTAAAAGATTCTTTATTTTGTGTGTTTAAAGATATCCATCTAAAAAGGATGGAAATATACATTTGAGTCAAATGTAATTTGAGGAAGGCAGCAAATATTATAAAATAGTTGACTTTTACATGGCCATTAATTGCTGCCATTATCATTTTGTCCATCGTATTTACCATTTTCAATCATTTTTTCAGTTAAAAGAATGTGCATTTATCTTCATTATCTTTTTTTTCTCTTTTATTGGTTGTGGGTGTATTCTTTAGACCATCCCGATTGAGGACTAGTTGAAAAATGCCTTTGTATGTACATAATACATGTTTCTCAGGAAACATTGTGTCGCATCAACTACATTCAAGTCCCTGAAAACTGTGACAATTCATTTGTCACATTTCATGCTGATTTGAAACAGCAATATATAAATTCAATTCATTAAAGTAGTCATAATTAAATTTCTCTCTCCACTCATGGATTTCTTTTGAAAATACAACACTAGCTACTGATCCCTATCCCAGGAAAAATTTATATAAATATGAAAAGGGATGAGTACCTATAATTTCAGCATATTCTAAAGCCTTTGAATCTTTATTGAAGACCTCACAGTGGGCCCCAAGGCAGTTGTGTTAACTTTTGGAGGAAACAACTATGTTTTTCTGGAGAATATGTGAACCAGGAATAGGCAGTCGCATAGCAATGCAAGATTCAGTCTGAAACTCTGTAGATGCCTCCTCCTTACTCTAGTGTCAGGCTTTTGTTTCTCTTTCTTTTTAAGATTCATCCTGGAGTATTAACACATTTATTTCATATAATCACAGTTGCTGATTAGATTTACCACAGTGTGAATTGTTTTGTCCAAAAACTGCTTGTCATTAAACAGTTTAATCTTCATTACAGGATAAACCAATTCTTGCTCCTGAACCTCTCATCATGGATAACCTGGACTCAATTATGGAACAGCTAAATACTTGGAATTTTCCTATTTTTGACTTGGTGGAAAATATAGGGAAAAAATGTGGCCGTATTCTTAGTCAGGTAAGAAATACTATATGACTTTAAATAACCTTAGCTGCTGAGAACTTCTTGCACTGGTGACATCTGTGGATAGGCAGTATATGAAGAAAGAGGATTTTAGCAAACAACATTCTGTATGTCGTATGGTGGTGGTTAATAGAGATATTGGAACTTTCAGTAAATGGACTATCACTTTTTCTTTTTTTCCTCAGGAAAAGTAGGATAGTGATAAACAGGTAAAATGCACAAATAAATTAATCAGAGTTAAACAAAACAAAAGCTGACAGAAACCCTTCTCCAAGTGCCTGTTTACAGATAACTATTTATTTTGTATAATTAGTTCAGTGATTCTTTAACTTTTTTCTCTAATTAGTTATTATTTTTAACATTTGAATGTTACATTGCTTAGACCTCATCAAAAAACAACATATCACGCAGAAATATGTTTCTCCCCCAGTACTGTGGAAAACGCATCAGAAAGAGTTCTCTGTATTTGAATAATCAATGAGTCCTGTGGTTGCATGACAAACCTTTTAGTAATATTTCCTTAAAATAGACTGTTATCAAGGCCTCCCAAATAAAGAAATGTTTGGTTTGCTAAGGGAGAAAGAAAACAGAAATTAAGAATTTGGACATGTTTTATCAAAAAAATGAAGCTAAACAGAATGATGAATTTGTTGTGTTACCAAAAACCTATTAAGATGTGAATACTTAAAGTGTGTGGTATAATACTATTTCAGCTTATTTTAAAATGTCTTTACATTTTAACAGCCGAGATGCTAAAGACTGCCACACCTGGTAACAACTTCCAGGGAGAGGCCTATGACAGAGCCTATAAGCTAGCAGTGGTCCAGGAAATCTTTTCTCTCTTCTTTTAGTGAAGATTATGTTCCTTGACAGGGAAGAGCTTTCTAGATTCTCTAATCTTCATGGTAACATACAGGTGTTTTTAAAAGTCCATTTTATAGAAGAAATTAAGGTTTGAAAGAGAGGATCTGAACTGGGGATATAGCTCAGCCGTGTAAGTGCCTGGCTGGCAAGTAAAGGTCCTGAGTTCAATTCCTGATAGCTAAATAAATACATAAATAAATAAATGAAGGAAAGAAAGAAAGAAAGAAAGAAAGAGAGGGTCTAGTTTTCTTTTAAAATTGTGAAGTGAATATTAAATGCAGGATTAAAATGTAGATTTATCTGTATCAGAAGCTCAGCCTTTTAACCTTCCAGTGCTCTTTAGAAACCCATAAAATATATTTATTTAGTTTATCTACAGGCTCTCCAAATGGGGATTCTGACCAAATAGAAAAATGGGTCCTATAGCAGGTTTTTTTTTTTTTTTTTTTTTTTTTTTTTTTTTTAAACAGCATTAGTGACAGTGTACCAGATGCAATTGCAGGTTTCAAGCTCCCCTTGAAATTTTCAGGGCTACAGACATTGGAGGTTCAGACTTGGTCAGCATTACCTAAATATCCCCTCCCGCACCCCTCCCTCTGCTTCTCCCCCCTTCCTTCCTCTTCCTCCTCTCTTTCCTCTCCCTCCCACCTGTCTTCCCTCTCCTCCCTCCGTGGCTTTGAACCCAGGACCTCATGGATGTCAATCAAAGTTTCACCCTCTACTGCTCAAAATGTTTCTTGAAAGTCACAAAATGCTAGCATTGATTAGAAAGATTAGGGCTGGCCAACAGTTAGATTTTAACAACATTCACTGGTCCATCTCTTATATCTCCCTCTGTAAGCAATACGTTACTACTTGTTCCCTATTAGTCACTGTTTACTTTCCCAATTTGTAAAATATTGAACTTTGAGAAAATACCGCTTCATTCCCCTTGCTAAGTAGAACTTTCTCAGTTCTTTTCCTTCGATTGGAGTTCCTAAGTATGAAAACCATACAACTTTGATTATGAGACATGAGGACAGCTGAGATACATTAGCCTGGGCATTCCAAGATACCACCTTTTGGCTTAGACTACACAGAAAAAGTCTCACTTCAAAAGACTTTCGAAGAGACATATGTGCAGGGGAAATGACTTCTCGCCTCAATGTACTGCTTGCCTTCTGGTGATTATTATGTTTATTTTCACAGATTTAAAAGGACATTCTTCAGATTTGGAATAGCGTTTACTCTTTGCAGTTGCCAATATTTATCCAGTTGATCATTTTTTCTTTATTTATGAGTTTGCAACTGTCGTATGTACAATGACGTGGTTGATTTTAATAGCTTTTTGATGACAAGTCTCCTGGTTTCCGCCTTTTTAAAAATTCATCTGTAGCTTTTTATGTTTTTTAAAATTTTAATGTGGCTAAAAGAGCTTGGCATATATAAAATTATTCATGTGACTCACATTATATTTCTTTATTATTAAATTTATTGGTGCAATTTAGATATACACAATGAGCATATTCATCATAGGAATTGGTACCTGTGCATGACATATCTGGATTCCTTTTTCCCCCAGTCATCTTCCCTCCTTCAGCCCCTCCTTCTCCCTTTATTCACAATACTTTGTTTCCATTTTATCCTTCTTGTATTGTTTTATATTTTGTTTTTCCTTCTTTACTTTCCCCTGCCCCCTTGATAGTTTGCCTTTCTTTTGAACAATTTCTTCATATTTCACAATACTTATTGTATACTTTGGTCCTTATTTACACTTGCAGTTTCTCTCAACATAGAAACAGTGCCCTGTTTACACATGTATGACTGATTTATTTCACTTTAAGAATCTGGTCTGAAGGTGTATCCATTTGCCTAGAAATGTTTTGAGTTTATCCTCTTTAATGGCTGATTAGCACTCCATTTTATGTAAAATAAAACCCACTTCTTTTTTTATCCATTTCACAGTTGATGGACACTTGAGTTGTTTTCAGGATTTACCTATTACAAACTGTGTTCTATAATGGGCACATATATTGCTGTGATGTGATATTTTTATTCTTCTGGGAAGATACCCAAAAGGGGAAAAGCTGGGTTAAATGGGACCTGTAATCCTAGTTTTTTGAGAAAGCTCCACACTGATTTCCATAGTGGTTGCACCAGTGTACACTCCACCAACAGTGGGGAAGGGTTCCTTTTTCCTCACAACCCCTCTAACATTTGTTACTGGTTAACTTCTTGATGACAGCCATTCTTTCTGAGAAGAGATGAAATCTCAGTGTAGTTTTAATTTGCATCTCTCGAATAGCCAGTGATGTAGAACATACTTTCATATATTTATTTTCCATTTGTGTTTTTTTCCTCTGAGAAGTATGTGTTCATCTCAGAAGCCCATTTTTGGATTGTGTCTTTAAATTTGGAGGATCTGATTTTTTAAAATTCTTTATATGTCATTTTCATATCAAACTCTAAAATATTCTGTTTCAATTTTTCAGTTCCTCTTTGAAACATTTTTAGCAGAACTGTAAGCACTCTCTATTTACAATTCTAACAATACTGGGTTTTAAATAGTGTCAGGAGGACTTACAGCAGTTAAAAGTTACAAAATCTGAAAATAAAATGCATTATTTGAATTCCAGCTCTGATACGTATCAGCTGTGTGACCTTTAGACACTCAACCACTCTTTACCTTACCTTCCTCTACTTTCAGACATTAGTAACTGATATTACATATCTCATACAGTGCTGTGAATATTAATTATATGTAAATCATTATTCTGCATAAAGTTCTCAGGGCAAACATCACATTTGATTCTCTGTATGTATGCACAGCAGCTCCTACTACTGTGTCCCTGTTTTATTGAAGCAACCTGCAAAAATAAATCCCTTAGGTGTTCATAAATGAGAGTTTACATATAATACAAAGCAATAATAAACTGGAGATGACTAAAAGAAATAGCTTTATGACAGAAACTACAAACTTTCTATTGCATTTTAAAAGAAAAAATGTCTTACTTTTCACTCTCATTGTTGAGACGAAATACCCAGCGTCCAATGTGAAAGAAGGAAAGGTTTATTTCTTACAACTTTGGAGGTTTCAGTCCATAGTTAGCTGGCTCCAAGCGGCAGGGTGACATGGTGGGCCGTCATTCAAAGTGGGCTGCAAACAGCAACCACAAACTTGCAAGAGAGAGAGACACACCATCTTCCTGTGGATACATCATATCCTGGCTCCGCCCCTGGATGGGTGAAACACTCACACCATCAATCTAAGAGCTAGATAATGAACCAATCACAAATGCTGGATTTGGTCACGTCCATAATTGCATGAGGCTTGGGGGCCACTGACATAAATCATAACAAAGGAAACAGAGGCATAAAATTACACAGAAAAGAGAAAAAGTTCAGTATCTGCATTGCCAGTGAAGAAAGGTAGATAGAAGTTGAGACAAATGTCTTATATAATGTATTTCTCTACTCTCAGCCAGGCTTTTAAAAATAATACAAAACTATTTCTCTGCTCTAAGGTTTCCAGTAGGTCACCACCTCACCTGAGTAATGGTATGGTTAGGTTGACGTGGTCCTCATACCCAGACTTCACCCCTCCAGTTGCTCCTGGTGAGACTTGGAACTTTCCTCCTGACTTCATTTAGTCTATTTTAGCCACAGCAGCCACTTCTGTCCATTGCCTTCTCCTACCACTGCCTCTTTTCCTCTGTCATGTCAAATATACCAATTATTTCCAAATATATTGATTTTAGTTATCAGAACTATAAAAATAATTGTAAAGAAAGTACGTATTTGGAAGTGAAAGAGATCCAATGAATGAGAGTAAGTAGACTTTACTATTTATACTGGATCAGAATAAATCTTTTCCTCTTTATCTTTTAGAGGATCTCTTTTCCTCCTCCACAATTCTTTCCTTTTATCACCACTAAGGCACAACTCTGAAGCCTTTATTTCTTAAAATTTTTTAAAAGAAGAATTCATCCAAACTGGAATGTTCTCTCATCCTTTATTTAGTCTTTATTCTATGTGCCATACAACTTGCAACCTAAAAAGTATCACTTTCTAGGTATCAGTGTCTACTCAGTTTAATCAGTTGGTAGAATGCTATAGTGATGGTGTAGCATTGTTGGTGGTGGTATTGATGGTTTCTGGGTGTATGAGTAGTCTTTTCCCTTAATACACATTATTGACCCCTTGTAGGACAAAACCACAAAGGGTCAGTACACGGAAGTCTTCAATATATACTTAATTCATTATTCTCAGTAAGTGTCTCTACCGGTAGTAAATTCATCTGGTTAATAAAATATGCACTTTTCACTTCATTTTTCTCTTTATGTTTAAAATACTAGGGTATAACTTGTAAAGTTTTGACTTTCTGTTTTGTAGGTCTCCTACAGACTTTTTGAAGACATGGGCCTCTTCGAAGCTTTTAAAATTCCAGTTAGAGAATTTATGAATTATTTTCATGCATTGGAGATTGGATACAGGGATATTCCTTGTAAGTATAAGTCATTTGGAAAAAGTATTTCTTTCATCTGTCATATTTGCTGTAGGTAGTGAGGTGTTAAGTCATTAGCACAGAATTGCACATTACTCACACTCACTATGACCACACTATAGCAGGAAGAAATGGCCTCTGTTAAAGTTTTTGCTTCTTTACATAAGCTGGATCTGAACATCTGGGTACCTCCTTTCTTAATTCAGAAAAGAGGGATTGTATTGTTGCTTCATCAGATCATTAGGATAAAGTGACATAATCATTATAGAGAAGTTATAATAGTACCTTATCTGTAATCAATCTAATTTAGTTTGGCAAGTAAGTAATTAAGTCTTAAATTTAAACTTATTGCTGTTAATATCCTGCCTCTTCTGTTGGGGAGATTAAACTTTTATTATGGAATCTCAAGAGTTAAATCCCCAACTATCAAGGTTGTCTCAACATAAAGAGAAATCTGGCTGGTATTTACAGGGGCAGGAAGAGGATGACCTAATAACTAGAATAAAAATGAGACATCTGGAAATGGTTATGGAAAGATGATAAACATTTTAAAAATCAAGGAAATGTGAAAATGTGAGAGAGGACAAAATAAAGTATTTCAGTGTTGAGTTAATGTTAAGGTTTGTCATTAATAAAAATGAAATTGAAATACATAGATGTTAAAATTTCATTATGTGACATTTCAGGTATCATTTATCAACCTAAATAGAATTGTTCTACAGTTCTACAAAATATTTGGATCTGGAAAAGATGTCCATAGGTTTAATCACTAAACTCATGGAAACGTGTATAAAGCCAGCTGCACTTCAAAGGAATACATACACACAAAAATAAACATAGTAGATTGGTTGGAACATTTTTTAGAAAAGAATTACTGCAATCATATTTTAAGTTAAATTTCATTTTTTGTATCTTAGACTTTGTCTTAGTTATTTTTCTCATTGCTGAGAGAAAAAATCCCATGCCTAAATTAAAGGATGAATCATTTGTTTGGCTCACAGTTTGTAGAGGTTTCAGTTTGGACTTGGCTGGGTCCAGGACAGGTTGGCATGGCAAACGGGTATCACAGAGGAGAAACAGTTCATGTCAAGCAGAAGGCAGGAAAGCTGAGAAATAGCTAGAGCAAACAGCAATCCTTTTTCTGTCCCTTAAGTTTTATCTAGGCTACCCCAACCCTTAGGGTGAATAGCACTCATACCTAGGGTGGGACAGTTTTAATCCTACCCAAAATTCTACCCAACCAATCAGTGGACTAATTTAGTAATCACATTAATCCCAGCATCACATTTTGTAGATTCAGCTACCTCTGAAAAAGCCCCATCTAGGAATGCATGTGGCTTTTGGGTGACATCTAGACATGAGCCAAAACAGACTTCAAAAGGCAATGTCTTGTTTTCCATTTCCAGACTTGACATTAAATAAAAGTGCTAATATATGGATACAGATAAAGCACAAGTATGCTCAGAAAAAGGTTACACTTGAACCTTGGGCGTCATTGTTAGCATGTTAGTCACATGCTAAAGATGTGGAGTGAAAATGCTCAACCAGTAAGATTTTAATAGGGAAGCAGAATGATGAACTAAATCTGCAAATGAGATTTGCTGAAGAATATGGTAGCAAACTGCAGACAAAATAGGATTGTTGGCATAGAGTAAGGTAGAGTTTAACAGTACTGGACCCTGTGAGAAAGTCTGGCAGGAAGTGGGAGGTGGAAGGGAGATATTAAAAAGGGTTGTTAGGGTCGAAAGATAAGCCTTGCTTTTTTAATGCATTTTTCCCAAGGCTTGTCCTGGGGAGAGCAAGTGATGGACAGAAGTGTTAGTAATTTCACTAAGTTTAAAGAGTTACATAAATAAACTTTTACAGAAGGGAAACACTGAAAACACTAAAGAAATGCTGGTCAACAGACTGAGTTTCCAAATTATTGTAGTATTACCACATATATTTCTATATAAAAGTTTTATGCAGTTTACAGTTATAGTAGATTTCACTGATATAATAAATATCAGCTTTTCTCTAGGTAGTTTATATCATTTTAAATGATAAAGATGCCTAATATAAAAGATGTCTAATATACAAGCACAATGTTTCTAGATATTAAATTATATCGCTCATTTTACATTTTATTATAATTTGTTTCTATAAGTGAATATTTCTTTCTTGTGAAATAATGAGTTTTTCACGCCATCTCAGGTTTTTGATGATTACTTTTAAATGATATTTTGTGTATACTGGGGCCATACATTTAGACTATTATGATATTTAGTGAAAGCTTGGCTTGTTATAAGTTATAATTAGTATATCCAAAAATTTGTTGTATAATCATGTTAATATTTACACCTAAATAATTATATTTCTGATGGCTATACTAAACTAATGATTAGCTGAAAAAAACCTTAGAAAGCAACATGAAAATAGGGTTGGATTAAATGTCATATAACAATGCACTGATACATTAGAAATCAAATCTATCATTAGTTGCAAGTACACCTTTAACAAGTTTCAAGGGATAAGGAAAATGGGAAATTTTTCAAATGTTGAATTTTGATTAAAAATATCATCTGAATTAAAGAGATAGGAGGAAAGGAGAAATTTCAGAAAATAGCAGTATATAAGGCAATTAAATAGGCAAATTGCTGATAGAAATGTGACAAATTTGTTCCATGAAGATTCATAGAAATGCAGGTGTAATTGATAGTTGTACAGGAAGGTAAATGATGTTGGATGTACTCCCCTTTGGTTGGGCACTTTGGTTAGTAAAGAAGACAATGAGCAGATTAACATTTATTTTAGGGTGCCTCTCCTCCTTTCTTTTCTCAGTACTGGTGAAATTAAACCCAGGGTCACTTTACCCATTGAGCTGCATCCCTATGCTTTTTTTAAATTTTGAGACTGAGTCTGGTTGTTGACCAGCCTGGCCTCCCATGTGCAATCTTCCTGCCTCAGTCTCCCAAGCAGCTGAGATCCCAGGCCTGTACCACCACAGCCCACTTGAGGATGCTTTTTCTAATGCCAGATTAGCATCTCTAAGTTAGATTCTTCTATTTTGAAAGCTTTTGTTATTATTATCCAAATTTGAGAAATGAGAATGCCTCAGAAGGACCCATGACCATGGAGCGATGTCACATCATAAAGACAATGGGCCCAGTCTTCTATGTTTAGCTCAGTTCAGTTCTTCTGTGTACCATGATCCTATGTGTTTTAAAGCTAGATTCCAACTGACATGACAAGAACGAGTTGGCCAGAACCATTGCGTTATTAGCTATGTGCCAAAGTAAAACCAAATATTTTAAAACATTACTTCTATTCTTTGCTACTTCCTCCACCCTATGGTGCATAGGAGCATAGACAGACTTTTAAAATGTAAAAATATCTATACATTTGACGTACACCTCCACCCACCATAGCAATGCACTTCAACTCTGTGCATGAAGATAAGGGGCAGTTGAGAAATGAATCTATTCAGACAGAAGCAGGAGATGGGCTGCGCTGGGAAAGAGACATGGTTTGTTGTGTGTTTGTGTATGGGCGCATGGTGTGTCACTAATGTGTGTCAACATTTGCATTGTGTTAGTTTATCATCAGAAGAGGACAAGGGACGGCTGCATAGATGAAGGAATTATCAGGTTAGGAGTTAGTCCAAAACACAGAGCTGAAGGAAGGGGAGTGGCAGGAGAAGAAACAAGACTAGTCCTGACACCATATCTCATCCCTTTCAGTTGCCTACTGCGGCCAGAGCAAGAAGAGGAATCCGTAAACATGTTTATGTGCCCTAAGAGAATCTCTCAGTTTTTATATTGACTTGGCTGCCTTCTTTCTTAGTACTTTTACTTCCAAGTTGGGTCAGCAGAAAGGGAAAGGCAAGAGCAACAGAGATACAGATGCATGGCATAATAAATACAGCATTTGCACATAGTATGTGCTGAGTAAATATTTGTTTAATCAACATGTTACTGTCTGCTAAGTAGCAGATGAGTTTCCCATTCTGTTTAAGTAATTACCAAAAGTGTGTTTAAATGAGCAATTGGATTTGGTGAGTTGTGTTTTATTTGGTGTTTTTAACCCTACGGTTTAAAAGTAAAAGAAGCCTTTCTTATTTTATTTTTCAAATATTTTAGCTAGGTTTAAAATCAAGATCATACGAGAGTCATTAGATGATTTTGCACGTTCAGCACTAAATTGTTAACTTTGGATGACACTTTCATTGAAAGTTTGTAAAACTTACCAGTAACGTCTTCTGGGTCTGTGTCTTGGGGTAGGTGACAGGATGGGACAGGATGACTTTGCAGGTTCTGCCAGCCCCCTGACCCTTGTGATGCTGGGTTTTTCTGGCTTGTACTGGTAGTGGAAATAGCTCCCATGCAGTCATCTTCCCAGTTTACAACAAGGGAAAAGGACTGAATTTGGAAGCTTGCTCCCGGAAGTGGTGCCTTCTACCTGGCATGCTGTTTTTTTCTTCTTCCAGGTCATCACTGCCATCTGCCTCCCCAAAGGGTGCCATTTGGGTGCTTTGTGCACTTAATCTACATAGAAGAGATGTGCTATTCATTTTCATTGCAGTTTTTAAATAGTGATTATATCTGAGTACCATTTGTCAGACATGAATTGTCAGGAAAATGAGACCATTAGTTGAACAGCTTTTGAGTTTTTTAATCCTTACAAATTCACTGTTTGAGAGCAAGCAAGTGCTCTGCATTAGTTTGTCATCTTGTTCTACAGTAACAACTTACTGTGTGTACATAATACTTAAGTTGATTGTAAACTCAGTGTGTTAGAGGCTTTAAAATACAGTTGCTGCCATGATTTTCACAGTTGTACTCTGAAATTGACACTATTACTTGTCTCCATAATTTTAAAGAATAAGGCTTTTTTATCTATTTTATATGCAAGACAAGAAAATAAGTTTCATGTAGCGTGTAGTGTAATATGGAGAATAAATATCAGAACAAAAGTGAAATCAGATCTGTCCCAAATGCAAAAACTCTAGCATGATCAACTTTGTACATGGCACACATACAGAAATAAAAATGTGAAAATAATTTTTGTATCTGCAAGTTATCTAAACATGGATAGGCTTTTATCACTGGGAGTGGCCTGTAATCAGATATACAAACTCCAGTGTTAATAAACTGATGACCATGACAACCACACAAGTTTTCACATGTACCAGTGGCAACAGGCGTACAAGTTCCACTATTTCTTTCTTGGGGACCCTCCATGTATTTTTCTTATAATTCTCTTAAAATCTTCTTAACCCCTCAACTTAATTCTGGTGCAATTACCTAAGATTTTGCTCTGTGTTATCACTTACAGGCAGACTCCTTCAAGAGTTGCCAGATGCTTAGGAAGAAGATAGGTACCATCTACCTCCAGGCATCTGGGTGCTACCAATGCCACACCCACCAAGGACTTCCTCTTTTTTTTTAAACCAGAAAGCAATGCTTCTCTTCTATTCCCACCATCATTCTTATTTTTCAGTAGTTTTCTCTTTTCCTCATTCTTTGACTATTCAGAAACAGAATCTCTTCTATTAAGGAAGTGCTTAGAAGACATAAAAGTGAAGTCCTTACATTGAGAATAAATCATATCAGTTAATGAAGTATTATAGAGAAATAGATAAATAAGAAAAACACTTGAAAGAATGTCACAAGAAAAAGAAGATGAGGCAAGAGAATGCCAGGCTCAGTTCTGGCTCAAAACAAGCTGAATTACACATGTAAATGAACCTTTCTCCAACTCATGGTAGTATTATGAATAGCAAATTTGTTTTGTTTATTATTTTTGTCTTCTAAGTATTATACAGATTGTTACAGTTCTTTCTGGGAAATCCTAGAAATGTATTCCCACATTAAAATTTTTAATGAGAAAACATAACTATAATGTACTACCTACATTAATATACAAAGAGATTCTTATTTTTAACTTTATATATTTCCTATAAACATATTCCCAAAGTATAGTTCTTTGATCTAATAATATAATTAGAAGCCTAACTCTACATTATTACATAAGAGAGTCTTAATTTTTTCTTTATTTTCTAGAAATATATCCCCAGATTAAAATTTCTTGATCACAGGATATAATTAATTTTGAATTTTGTTTTGTGGATTAAAGCCTACATAAAAAAGATGTACTCATTTTTATTGGTATGTATAAATATTGATGTTGAAGCATAAATAGTACTATGTTCTATTTACAGATTATATTTGGGTGCTACTTGTCAGAGATGAAGTATCAAGGAGTTGAGAACATTGGTCTGCTTGGGTCGAAACCCGTCATAGATATTTCTTTCATGCTATTCCTCTGCATAGTTGCCTACAAAAGCATGAAATAAGCCCCTGAGTAAACACTGCAGTTTTGCATACTGCAGTTCTAATAAACTCTGGACACAGATTTTTCTATTTCAAACATCAAAATACATAGTTAATACTGCAATGGTTGATTTTTCTTCCTACTATGGATATTATGGAAGCATAGAAAAGTAATCAAAGAGTATTTGTCCTGGAAAGCTTGGCAGGCTTTTGCTGGGACTTCAACATTGCTTGGACTAAACCATTTCTCCAGTAGATGGCACTGTTAGTCCTTGGACCCCAAGGTTCCCAGGTTGATGACTATTCCTTTGCATTGGCTACAGATCATAACAGAATCCATGCCACTGACGTCTTACATGCTGTTTGGTATCTTACTACACAGCCTATTCCAGGCCTGTCCACTGTGGTTAATGATCCCGGATCAGCAAGTGATTCAGGTATGTATGAAGTACATCTGTCGTCCCTGAGAAACACACAAGTGCGTGCATGCGTGTGTGTATGTGTGTAAAAGAAAAACATGGTATGTTTCATACTTTTTAAATTTTCTGTTACTTCCACTTTTCTCAGATTCTGACAGTGGATTTACACATGGACACATAGGATATGTGTTTTCAAAACTGTATAATGCAGCGGATGATAAATACGGATGTCTTTCTGGAAACATCCCTGCCTTGGAGTTGATGGCGCTGTACGTGGCTGCAGCCATGCATGACTATGACCACCCAGGGAGGACCAATGCCTTCCTGGTTGCTACTAGTGCTCCTCAGGTAACTCTTTGCATCTTGACTCAGAGAAACCATTCAATGTAGAGATTTCTCTGGAGAAAATTAATTTTATCAGTCTGGCTTATAATAGGCACCAACTAAGTAGATGCCAAACTATACTGAGTCCTGAGATAAACTTCTAAGAGACATGTAGTTTTGAAAAGATATCCTGGTTTGTTCTAAGATATTCATGGCAAGGACACGACATTTACCCTTAGGATATTATTGTCCCGTCTCAGTTACACCTTTAAGAAGAAAATCTAAAAATTCCTCTTCAAAAAAAGGCAAACTATACATACTTCTATTCCTGTTAAGAGTAGAGAATCAAGTCTATCTTGAGTTTTTAAGACTGTAAGGTTTCTTTATATGTAAATCATATTCCTAAAAAATACACTTATGACCTCAATCATGATTCTTGAGGTGTGCCTATTAGTTGGTAGCAGTTTAGCAACAATTTGTCTCATTTATTTGGTAGAAATTTTTAATATACACATGAGATTAAAAAACAGCAAATAACAAAACATTCTGAGGCCATCCAGCCATCATTCTAAAGAATCTAAAATGCCAGTCTAGTTCGGTGTTTACCTTATTTTCTTGTTTGTTGTCTTTCATTCTACTCTCATTTGGTTCCACAACTTCTCTTCTGGACCATTCTAGAACATTCCTTGAATTTATATACAATTAAAATATTTTTTCCTTGACCACTTATTTTTTCTTCTTTCCACTAGATTAGAATTAGTTTCCTGGAAATAGAAATCCTCTTGTTAGTATAATTTACTATTTAGATCTTCTTATACATGTTTTTACTTACCCCGTTATTGATATTCATGTGCTTAATCTCACAGTAGTCTTCGTGCATTCTTTGTAGGCAGCTTCCTTGTGTTCTTAAAGCTTCTCTCAGCATTATCCAAGAATTTCAAATAAGCAGATATTTACTATATATCTTCAGTTATCCTCGTTAAAGTGTGATATTTTCCCATTTCTGATTAAAGTTGAAGCTGTTTCAATTGTGGACTTCTTAGAGATTCCATTTCTCCTCAGTAATTAAAAGAGGAGGTAATTCTTATGTCAGATACAGAAATTAACCAAATTAGCTTATAGGAATAATTAATATAGGCTTGTGTGTGTGTTCATGTGTTTATGTTTAAATTCCTGTACCTGGCAAAGAAATCCAAAGAAAGATTTTATAAAAAACAAGCTCCATTAAAGCAAGCTGGGGCCCCTTACTTGCTATAAGTTGTCAAAAACAATAAAGTTTCAAAAACTGGAGCTTATATTACAACAGAAAATTTAACCTAAAAAAACAATCAATAGTCAAGATATAGCAGTAAATGATTCCGAACAACCAGCAGTCACAAGATTACTTTTTTTGTTCCATGAACAAAATAGCTATTTGCATATTTTTATTCATTTTTGTGATTCTCTTAAAAACTTAGATAGTTGAACTTTAATCATCTTCCTTACTTGCATAGGCGGTGCTATACAATGATCGTTCCGTTTTGGAGAACCATCATGCAGCTGCAGCATGGAATCTTTTCATGTCCCGGCCAGAGTACAACTTCTTAAGTAACCTTGACCATGTGGAATTTAAGCATTTCCGTTTTCTTGTCATTGAAGCAATTTTGGCCACTGACCTGAAGAAACACTTTGACTTCGTAACCAAATTTAATGCCAAGGTAGCTAAATTTATACCAGTGTTCACTTTATGTCCACATTAAAGATGTTATAGTATCAAAGTGCTAAACAAAACTAATTGCTATCGGCTCTCAGGTCAAGTATGAAAACAAAATGCAATAAAATATTTAACCAGAGGTGGATATATAAGGTATTGGTCTGAATCTAGGTATCTAAGAAGTTGAAGTGTTGTATGTGTATATTTTTTTCTACTGATGAACAGTGAATTCAGAGTGTCTTTACAGATTGTTTAACTTGCTTTCATCTGTATAACATACTTAAATTATCTAGCAGTGATAATAATCAAAACCTTGAAGTAGACTTTCTTATCTTAAGCATAAATGTCCAAATGTTAATTCAAGAAAATTTATCAATTGCTACATTATTTCAGTAGCAATCATTAATGTATGGTAACTTAAATAGCACTTATGATCAGTTTCATAATTAATATTGTATACATCATTTATTATTTTACTTTTTTTGATGAACTGTTTTATTATTTATTTGTGCAAGCCAAAAACAATATTTTAAATAGGTAAGGTCCCAGGTATTTTGTATTCTGAGCTCTACATGATAGAAAGATACTTACTATTCTGTTTTCCTTTTTTTTTTTTTTTTTCTGTTCAACTTTTGTTTCCATTAGAAGTAAAACATTTTAACTTTGTCCCTCAACCAGGTGAATGATGATGTTGGAATAGATTGGACCAATGAAAATGATCGTCTCCTGGTTTGTCAAATGTGTATAAAGCTAGCTGATATTAATGGACCAGCTAAGTGTAAAGAACTTCATCTTCAGTGGACAGAGGGTATTGTCAATGAATTTTATGAACAGGTAACATAAGTGCTTCTCCTATCTCAAGCTGTGTATTCAGGCTGCTCATTAATTCACCAAAACTTTCAAAGAGCTATAAAGTATTATTACTCTGTTACATATTTATATTTTTGTTAAAAACTCTCAGATGGTTTTGATCAAGGCATTAAAAATATATCATGGTAAAATCAAACCTAACTATAAACACAGAACTCTTCTATAAACTTATTTGCAATCATTTTGAGGGAAGATGTTGAGATAATGGAATGATATAATGAGACATTAGGAAGACTTTTTATGTTCTGTTCTTTTATAGATGAATTTATTATAATAAAAGGTAGTTTAAATTTATTTGGAAGGATATAATACATTAATTTTATTTACTTTTCCACCAGAGTTAAAAATACAATATAAGGAAACTTTCAAAATAATGGACATTTTATTTGATGTGTTGATACAGTAACAGACTACCAAAACAGCATTGACAGTAACTTAAGTAATGGCTGCTCCTCCTTATGGAGCTCTAACTTGATGTGATTATAGTTAAAGATTTCTATTTAGTATTATGAATCAAGGTTTTAAGAAGAATGTGGAGTTGATGATGCATGGGTTAAGAACAGGAATCAGTGACATAGAAAGACATGAAAAAGTGAAAAAAAATTATTCTGGGAGAAATAAAGGTGACAGTCTTCTGATGCTTAAAAGCTCATATACAAATTTAGGAATACGTTTATTATAATGTTGCTTTGAAGAGTAAATAAGGTAAATCATATAAAGTCCCATTTCCAATCCCCAACCAGAAATGCAAGTATAACCATTCTACAGAAGCGATTGGGAGACAGAGTTAAAATTCATACCAAAAAAGGAATGTGTGTTTCTAAAGGTTTCCAAAAATAGAGTGAGATACTTTATTAATTAATAAATTGTCCCTGGAAATAGTTAAATGGGATTAGATGAACTCTTATGGATATTATAAGCAGGATTCATATAAAGAATAAAAGGTTTGTGTTTTTATTTTTGGCTAATGAATTTCCTTTTAAAGGAATGGGTTTAATTCATAATTATGTCTGAAAAATTGAAATGCAGAAAAAACATGAAGGGAAAGGGAATATTCACTAACAATGCAATAATAATTATGCTTACGTACAACCATTGCTGATACTATATTTCCTTCCTTAATTAGATAACTTCTGGTTTATGGTGTTATTTTTTCCCAGAAAAATTTGAAGCAGTCTGATACATGTCTATAGTAATACTATTAAATAGATAATAAAGATATGAAAAGCAATTACAAATGTGGTAATTCACACAAGATATCAATCTAAATTGAGCAATAGATTATAAGATTTCAAGCACATAAGGCAAAAAAGGAAAGCAGAAAAGCCTATATATTTGTTTCATTATCATTTCAAGTATTGCATTTTAAGATCCATCTATGTTCTCATTGAAGGAACACTGATTAGTGTCATAAAATTTTATCTATTGATTTGTTAACTAACTTTTTATACTGTATAAAAAGTTATACTGTATTTCCCCTGATAAAGAACATTGAAGGAACACTGATTAGTGTCATAAAATTTTATCTACTGATTTGTTAACTAACTTTTTATAGTGTATAAAAAGTTATACGGTATACTGTATTTCCCCTGATAAAGAGCCAAAACCTACAGATTACAAACTTAGTAAGTAGCAGCAACCAAGCATTTTTATAAAATTCTTAGTGATCTGGGTAGGAGTTTGCATATGAATGTTTGGAGTCTTGAATATCTGCTTATTTTATGTTCTGGGGAAACAGTGACTTTCCTTGTTTTTTAGACTCCTGTCACTTACCTTTCTAGCTAGCTACTCATGGTAAATGCTTCTTCCTAGGGTGATGAAGAGGCCAGCCTTGGGCTACCCATCAGCCCTTTCATGGACCGCTCTGCTCCTCAGCTGGCCAATCTGCAGGAATCCTTCATCTCTCACATTGTGGGGCCGCTGTGCAACTCCTATGACTCAGCAGGACTCATGCCAGGAAAGTGGGTTGAAGACAGCGATGAATCGGGAGATACTGATGACCCCGAAGAGGAAGAGGAAGCTACAGTGGTGAATGAAGAAGAAACCTGTGAAAATGATGAATCCCCTAGTACGTTATCAAGTCCAGTTGTAATGAGATTTCCAGAGATTTTCTTCCTTAATTTAGGTTCAGTTGAATTTTTGCTTCTTACAAATTACATCTTTTGCGTACAGGTATCATCTTTTGGGTTTGGTTATGGAGAGCCCCTTCATCCATATCGTGATGGAAATGGTAGAGTGTGGAATTTATAATGCCACATGTGTCCAAATGCCACATATCATTATAACATGTGATATCATACCATATATCAAATGGACGTATATTCCAGTTGTGGAGGAATTATGAATTAGAATTTGTGCTCCGGAATATTTTAGGATGTGGAAATGAAGACTGTCAGTTGGCATGTAAACCAGTCACAGGTTTAGTGAGAAAGGCATATGAAGCATGAAGAAATAGCATTTGTTTCTTCATTTAACTTACCAAGCACCCACTGTGTGCCAGGCATTTTTGCAAGTACAGACGTAGAGCTGTAACAAAACAGATAGACAAATAAATCCTTATTCTTGAAGACTTATATTTATGGGCTCTGCTAACACTAAGCAAGACATATCAGTTTATCTATGATACGTTAGGTACTGGTAGATATTAGAGAGAAAATAAGGTGATGCAAAATACTTGAAAGAAAGTTTAAAAGTTGTATAACCATGACCAAGGAAAATATACTATAAATAAGAAAGAGATTTAAAGAAATAGCTTAAGTAAGTGAGAGACTGATTTGTTTGGAGATGTAAAAAGAAAATTCCAAGGAAAGGAGAAAGCAGCATGTGCAAAGGTCCCACGGTGAGCATCTGCTGGAGTGGCAGGGGTAGAGGGAGAGGGGAAGACAGATGATGTAGTAATGGGAGAAAGCAGATGATGTAGAGCTTGAGAAAAGCACTATGTGGGGCGCACTGCAGATTTTAACTTTTACACAAAGATAAGAACCATCAACTGATTTTAAGCAGATGAATTAGTGGGCTCGTATTTTAATTTTGTTGCTTCAGTTGCTATGTTGAGCATATTCTTGCGATTAAAATGGGAGCAGAGAAGAAGCCAGGGAATCATCTAGAAGACTGTTGAAATTAGAAGTGAGATATAACTGTGACTTTGGATCAGAGCAGCAGCAATAAGAACAGATCACAACTGGTAATTGGCTTGGAGGACACCCCGTGGCCAGTCTAACCCATTTAGCTGGTTATGAAGGCATTATTTTTCTCCAAGCCTTTAAATATACTCTATATTTCTGCTGCTAGTTAATAGCTTAATTAGTAAAACCCATGACCATTACAATATTATAGAAACACTGTTCTATGCTCATGGAATATTGAATATAGGTATTTTCTACCTACCTGAACAAATGAGAGAAGTAAAGCCTCGATATGTTTCAGAGCCTTAATTAAATAATACCAATAAAAGACATTCTGATCACACCCCTACACCCCAATTGTAATCATAGTTAGGTGAATGAAGGGCCCAGCTCATTTCAGTCATCTGGTTAAGGAGATTCCCTGCACTCAAATTAATGCATCTGTCCTCATCTAGTCCCCATTGTCAGCACTCACAAGCGATGATAAAGAGACCATCACCGAGTGGTCTTGAGTGGAATTCTGCAATTCTATCCTTAGGCTAGGTTTTTCCTGCTTCTGCCCTATGTTGTGCGGAAGAGAGAAAATTGAAAATTGTTTTTCTTCAATATTCTATGTTCAAAATAATTCCAGTTCTCCAGCCTATTTTGTTTTTTAAGACTTCTATTAGAAATTTTGTTTTGCACTTGGGATCAGCGCTGAAAGCCAAAACTTGGATTCATGAGGTATTTATTGACTTGTATGTTTAATAAGCATGTATTAGCATTCTCATTTTACCTTGTTTTTGTTTCAGGCAGCCAAATATTTTGCTCTTAGTAAGGGGAGGAAAGTGTTTTTCCATTGAGTGATATTGGAAGGTGTTTGTCAGCTTAGCTGCCGGGAGGGCTTTGTTCCTATGGCCACCCCACCAATTGCTACTTGAACCTAAATACACTGAAATACAAACACAAAAATCCAGTCATCGGGAACAGGAGTGAAGCTAAGACTTTATTTCATGGGCTCAGCTTGTCAACCGAGGCTTTAACAGTCAGTGCTACATCCAAATATTATGCTCCTTTCTGTCTGTAGAGCTAGGTCACCATACCAGGTTACAGATTCTGATACCTGCTCTCTCACACTTCCAAGTTCCTAGGTTCACTGAAGCAAGAATGAGAATTCTCTGAATTCTGTTAATTTCCAAAGTTGTCTGGCCATTTTACATTAAAATATAAAGCATCCATATACAATGATTTAGTATGATAGCTGTAGACATCCTTGAAATATTCCTCCACAGCCAAGAAACTGATAAATATTGACCAATGTCAATATTTCTAAATACTGGCCACTTGAAGTAATAGAAGTTAGTTAGCTATCTCATTTTTCCAAAGACCAAGGTTCAGAAATCAAAGCAGTTTCTCAAAGTTAAAGAACCAAAAAAAAAAGAAAGTCAGCTTTCTTAATTTTTAACTCCATTGCTTTTGGCTCTTGGTGATTTTGATTTCAAAATTCATACTGGCTGAGACAGTTACCTTGATTGAGCCTGACACATAGACTTCAAAAAATATTAAGTTGAGTATGTGCTGATAACTTCGGTTGTTTGTAAAACTTGGAGATCTCCCAGGAAACACAGAATAAAATGTTTCAGTGTGGTGTCCTAGGGAAAGAAGGCTTTTACTGCACCTCATAATTAAATCTGAAAGATTCCTATGGTGCACTAAGAGGTTTCTAATGAAGTACTAAGCTGCATTTAGAATTCAAGCAATGAAAGGCTCTTTGTTCTCATTTCAAAAGGTTCCAGCGCTGAACAATCTGCCTCCCGATGCAGGCCTGTTTTAGACCACCTGCAGATTCGAATCTACGCAAATGTATTTGGTCCAAACTTTCTTCTACGTCACTTTATTCAATATAATTCCAGAGAGGTTTATTGCTAATGTTTAACAGCATTAATAAGAGAACAGCTGCTCTCGTGGGGACTGCCGTGGAGGGAGAAACAAAAAAATTGAGCCTTTGTTAGCTTCTTCCCCAGAAAAGTGTATAACTTTCAGCTGGAATAATCACATTGAGCTGTTCAATGTTTTCTATAACTGGGATTCAGCTCTGTCCTTTGACCTGGGTCACCTGTCACTTGTGATTCAAAGTCTTAGGTTAAAAAATGTGTCAATGTTTTGAAATTTCCAAACAGAAGCTCATTTGTGCTTACCTATACCAAAAACAAAATAGAAATAGACCAGTAGTGGCTAGCATAGATCAAAGAGTAATTTTTAATTTGCTTTTGAAAATTGAATGTATTAATAGATTTTCTTTATTATGGTAGATAGAAATTGATACAATTTGATAGTCATTAAGTAAGAATATTCAATAATATATTTAAATGTTAGGTTAGGAATATCTTCCTTCTAGGAAACTGGCAGATAAATAATGAACTTGTGCGATCTTTCTCATGGCCCCCCTCTGCCTTCCTCTCTGTACCGTGCTGCTGACCCCCTCTTTACCAGCTCTGTGCATTCTCATCACTGCCTTCCAGCTCATGTGCCCTGGCCTGTCCGGTCATGTCCTATCCTGTAGCAAACAACAAAAACAAAAACCCTGCATCTTCTCCCACAGGTTGAGTCTTCTGTGTTACCAGAGTATGATGTGCCCAAGCAAAATTTGCCAGGCACTTGTGAAAAATGGGAAGGAAGGCATTATTCAAAACTTTTGTTTTAGGAATCAACACTGTTGTTGTGAGGGAAAGAAACTGAACTCTGTTAAAATGAAAAGTGATAAAGTTTTTAAGTGCTAGATGAGCTAGTGAGTAAGAACTAGAGGGCCTTATAGGGGAGGTAGCTAATGTAAGGAGGCCATCTGTGTGTGATAACTGGAGCATATTGAAGTTGGACTCCTACCCACCTATCAAACTATCTTCTCCTCCCTTCCCTGTTCCTGCTCTGCCCTCCTTTTTCTTCTCCCTCCCTCCTTCCCTTCCTTCTCCTCTCTTTCTTTTATTCTTTTTCTTGTCCTTCTTCTTCTATTGCTTGTCTCTGTGTTTGATCAATGCATCCATCTCATGAATCAATAATAAATACAATACATAAATGTTTTGTAAGTTTTTGTGGATAACTCTGCTTGTGTTCACGTCTCCTAGATTTTCAAATTCATAATTTTTGTTGCCTATAGGTTCAAAAGTAATTGAAAATAGCATCTTTTTTCCTATGTTATGGATTCAAACTTCATCTTTAAAGTCCTGCACAGTACAAAACATTTCTGTAGTGTGTTATAATGCAAGTATTAAAAGAATCACTACAACTTCCACAAAGATGGTGTAGATAAAAAATTGGTAGGTGAGAAAATTATTCATCGCTTACTCAGTAATTTGTCTGGGGCTTTGTAGATATCCACATGCATGGGGAAAAGAAGAACTTCTGTCTTAGGGAGGTTCACATTTGATAGAAGGATCTTCACTTAACTTGCAGATTCCTGGTCGAAGTCTAAAGTGCCCACTCAGATGAAGAAATATGGTAGGATTTACAGTATATTCTGATTATTTAGAAAAGAACAGGCCTTGCCTTGAAACTGCAGGTCAATTACCTACTTTACCCTTCCCAGAAATATCATATATAAGCCACCCTCATGCTGCAATATCCTCCAAACTGGTCATTGCCTTGTCTTTCTGCCTCTTTTCAGAAACTTTGTAAGACTCACTATAATTGCACCTATGTTTCCAGCCAAGTAGAACATTCTTGCTGGCAGTTGTGGAATATTCTACTGATAGCATTGTGTTGCTACTCATAAAGCTTTGAATTCTGGATCCTTCTGGATTTGGAGTTTTCAGATTTAGTGCTTTTAGGTTAGAAAAGGTCAACTTGCAGCTCTCTTGTCTACCAGTAAGACACAAGAGTCTAGAACACCTCCCAGTTGCTGCCAGATTCTTAAAAAGAAAAACACATTTTAAGAAATAGAAGCCTAATTAACAAATTATGAAATCTTTAGTCTTTCAAACATCTTCTGTCTGTCTCTTCTGTTGAAATTAATTTGGTTATTTTTTGTTACCCAAAAGATATAATTCTGTGAACATTGTCTTTAATACTTTCCAATTGAAAAGTTTAACTTAATCATAGGAGAATGTAGTTTATTCATCGATTGAATGCTGTTTGCAGAGTTTTTGTCATGTGTGAGAGCTGTACAGATCCTTAGAAGGTGCCCTCAAAGAGCCTGTAGACTAAAGATGAACTGATGTTTAGAATAATGAGAGTAGTGTAAGTATCTGTATTAGTTACCTTTCTGTCACTGGGATTAAATATACAAGGAAGGAAGGAAGGAAAGAAAGAAAGAGAGAAAGAAAGTAAGATTGATTTGAGTTGGCTCATGTTTTCAAAAGAGGGTTCAGTCCATGGTCAGCCATCTCCAAGGGTGAAGTGCCATGGTACAAGAGAATGGGAGAGGAAAACTGCTCAATGCATGGTGACCAGGAGGGACAGAGAGAGGCAAGGGTGAAAGCTAGAGCTACAGCCTCCAAAGGCCACAGCATGGGCCATGCCAACCAGGCTCCACCTCTGAACAGCACATCCATGAATTAACCTACTACAAGCATTCCACCCTCGTAACCTTCCAAACCCCCTTCTCTGAACATATGAGACTCACAGGGGATATTTTATGTCTCCAAAAAGGGAAAACTATTGCTGCATATAAGCATGATGTTGTCTAATATTAACACTTGTTTGCTCGTCTCTCTGTGTTACTCAGTTGTAAGTTTACGTCAGGTATATAAGCAGAAGATACTTTGCACAGAGGTACATCTTCATCTGTTCATTTATTTGTCTGTGTATCTGTCTCTTTGCCTGTCTATCTATGACAAGATCTCACTAGGTTGCCCATGTCAAGTTTGAACTTGGAGTCTTCCTTTCCTCTGCCTCCAAATTGGGATTATGAGCATGTACCACCACACCTGGCTCAAAATTAATTTTTTAGCTTATATAATGCAGAGGCTAACATAACAATGTCTTCAGAGTAATCAATATTATAGATTTCTATGAGTTGAACTGAGGGTAATAAGTTATTCCCATCTTCTAGGTGAGAAGTCTCAACAGCCTCAATGTGAATAAAACTAATATCAAGACACAAGGGGAAGCATGATGACATTAACAAATACTAAATACTGTCTGCTGTTATTTCTCAGTGACATTTCACTATTGCCATCATCTTTTTATTTCTCCCTTCTTGAAAGCATCATCCTTACAATATACAAATCAAGAGGATATATATATTCTTTGCATACTTAAAAATCATTATGAGTAAGAAAATAAATGCCTTCCAGCCTACCAATACATATCTGATTCGGTATTCTGTTTATTTTTAATTTTTTATTTTATTTTTCAATTTTAGAAAAGAAAACTTTTAAGAGGAGGAAAATCTACTGCCAAATAACTCAGCACCTCCTACAGAACCATAAGATGTGGAAGAAAGTCATTGAAGAGGAGCAGCGATTGACCGGCATTGGAAATCCAGGCCTGGACCAGTCTGCTCAGCAGCACACCTCAGAGCAAATCCAGGCCATCGAGGAAGAAGACGAAGAGAAGGGGAAACCAAGAGCAGAGGAAACCCCGGCCCCAAAGCCAAACCAGTGACCCTGCGTAGAATGAGCTGTGTTTCTAAACAGATCTTGATTTGTCACAGACTCTTATAAGCCAGCACAATACTTAGACACAACACTGTAGAAATGAAAGAAGATGGGAAAATGGCTATTGTACTTTGGGATCCTTTGCATTTTATGTGTTTATTTTTGCAGTGAGGTACATTGTTAAAAAAAAAAAAAAGAGACTTGCTCCAGGAAGCTTTCACACTGCAACACCAGCTTCTATGGATATTTTTTTTATGAAGGAAATATATGTGTGTGTGTATATAAGCTCCCACGTAGATACATGTAAAACACATTTACACACAGGCATACACACATACACACTGAACGCCAGGATTACTGGCTCCACAGTTAGTAACATTCATATTAAGATATCTAGTGGTCACTGCAATAATAAAGGAAAGCAAATCAGGTGGGAAGGGGCGTGGCTTAGCGTGGAAAGAGTGAAGCGAATGCAGGTTACAGCTAAACAGCTTTTGCTGTTTACATTGAGGGATGAAAGTTCCAGAGCATTATTTGACTTCTCATGTATCCTGCCAACACTCTGTGTGTGTGTGTGTGTGTGTGTGTGTGTGTGTGTGTGTGTGTAACAGAAGGAGGGAGTTTGTGTGCATGTGTTTGTATACATGGAGAAATTTTTAAGGTTTTCGTAGTTCATAGAATAGCAGTAGCAGGTGACTCAGTACATTTGAACAAACAGAAGGAAGTTTGCTCTGAGGAGGTTTTGAAAGGCAGCCATTCCCAATGCCCTCCATTTAGCTTCGGAGCAGTCCTTTGCTGATGGAGGGCATTCCTGGGCCATGTGATTGGTACTACTGCTATTTACCACTTAGAGGCGCTGTACCACCAGGCTCAATCCTGGAAGGTGGAGGCATTTTCCAGTCTATTTCCCTAATGAATATATATGAGCTGCTTGTGAGTATGTATGTCACTTACCTAAGATCAAATCCTCTTTTAAGGGAATGGCATTCCTTATACATAAACACCCAAAAGGAGCTGCAGACAGGTAAAGAGTTCTCAGAGGATGCCAGAGATTTGGGAAATTATACTTAATAGAATCTTCTGTGTCTTCTTAATTTGTTGCAAAATGTGCAACAGGAAAAGAAAAAAGAAAGGCAAATAGAAACTCATTTATGATTTATGTAGCTAGAGATAAAGAGAAAATAACCTAGGGTGTTGCTGTTTTGGTCCTTGACAGCTGTTGAAGACTAGCTTTGGGGGTGATGGTCTTGTTGAAACCCCCTGTGTGGTATTTCATACACTGCATGATGGAAAGATACCTCCATCTACAGCCCCATTATCATGCTTCTTTTGGCAGGGAAGATCATAGAGGAATTGTTTATGGACTGGGGTATTTTTGAAACGTTATTTTGTTAGTTTGTTTGTTTTTATCTACACTTGTTTATGCTGTGAGCCAAACTTCTATTTAAAAAATTGATACTCACTTTCAATATTTTATTTCATATTATTATATATGTCATGAGTAGTTATCTTGTTGTAAATATATAAAGATTTTTTTGTTTCTGTAGATAGTAATACTCTTTTTTAAAAAACAAAAAAGGGAAAAGGGAAACATTTTTATAAAGTTATATTTTAGTCACCATTTTTATACATGGTTGCTATCTCTAAGCCCGGGAAGAAGATTATGATTCATTTCCATGCAGGTCTATGAGTAACTACTCATCTACCTACTCTAACTTAATGATAATCTCATGAAATTATTTTTGTCAATTTAATGAGGATGCTGAAATGAATTCTTTTCCGGTAGTAGTTTTTGCTAACTGAGTGAATTTTGAATCTTCAACTTCAAGATGAAAGAGTTCACCAATACCAAATTTTTATAGTTGGTGTTCATTTCTTTCCATCATAATTTTTGGTCATAACTCCTCCTTCTCCCCCTCTATATACAGATTTGCTCATTATCCAAACAACTTTAGTTTCCACGAAAACCTTGATTTTAATTTCTACTGTTTACCTTCCCTGAAGTCATAGAAAAGGAGTGTTTACATTAAAAAATCCTTTGTTTCTCACAAATGTAAATTCTTCCCTTCCAAAGCATGACTTTATAATAATCCATAGCATTTTTAATTAGGTTCCACACTAAGATAATCAGCATGGTTTCAAGATATTTCCAATAAGTAGGAAAATATGCAAATGATCCAATGGATGCAGACTTTACTTAAATAATTAGGATCTGTTTCAGTGTTATTTTTCAATTAACACCAGGTCTTCATTAGTTAGCACTTCCTGAGTTTCATTTTCTTAGTATTGCCTGTGAGTCTCTATGTTTGAAAATGTACAAACCGTGAAATATGTTTCTTGCAAGTGAGAGAGGAAAGGAAAAGGCATTTATACTGACATACCCATTGTATTCACTTATTTTAATCTTTTCCCCTTTTACAAATAGCTAAACATCAGTGTAGTTAATATCAATAAGGGAAAAAGTTTGTTGTGGAGTGCGTGGGATGACACTATCATTATGAATCCGTAACTGTATATAAGCAGTTTTATTAAAGTTGCTAGGCCTAAGCCAGCCAAAATGTCTCAGCCAATTGCCTGGTTGTGTTTTAAGATACATGAAGTAATAGGAGTATTAATGACCAAATCAGTTAGAATGTCTTTGTTCCAGATTTGTATTCATCAATCCAGGCAGATGAATAATTTTCAATAGCCATAATATTTAAGCTAGATGTCAGTTGAAATGAAAAGATGGCGATCCACTAACTGTATTACTTTGCTACATGCCTGGAATATCTATCTCTAAGGATGCCTAGGAGTATGCAAAGGTATTTTCTGCTAATGATGTTTCCCCCTCCTGGTGACAGCAATATTACTGTGTTCACTTCCATCTTCAGAGCTTACTTCCTGTGGTGCCAATGTATTTGTTGCAATTTACACATTTTTATATGAGCCTACTTAGAGGTGCCATTAGATAAACTCAGGTCTTTTGAATGAAGGAGTTTCTAGCACAGTTATGGAAAAAGGATAATTGTATAGACAGCCATAAAAATCAATATTAGGAAATATTAGAACTGGTTATTCTCCATTAAATAAAACTTCAAGTGTATTGTGTGTTATCAATGTCATTTTCAACCTGCTGATGGTTGCCTTTCTAAACCGACATTTAGAATATTATTTTCTTGGCGAAAACACCACTTTTGCTTTTTTTCTTAACTGTAAAATATGATTATTTGTCATTTATTCACGACCTGGTTTTGTTCTTAGTAGATGAAGACAGTAACTCTGTACAGGAATATATCTATATTGATCTTCATCTAACTTGCGAAGGTGTTTCTTCATGTTCTGTTTAAGAAAGTATCTACTTTTTAAGGACATAATACACAATTCTGTCTGTTGTATTTTGGTTGAATTGCATTGCAGGACAAATCGTAATGGTTGCAATCCCAGTAATATTGAAAAAAAGATATGGAATGTCATGCAGACTGTTCGCTAGCTGTATGTAGATGTTCATGTGTGATTTTTCCATATCCCCTGACTTTCCTTCCCAGAGAACTTTCCTGAAGGTAAAAGCTGTGCAGAAGGCATGAGCTTTGTTTAAATGATGGAAAAATATAAATTATTTTCTAAGGAATAAAAATATGAAAATTATCATTGTAAATAAAGTCTAAAGTTTGAAATGATTGCTGTACAAAGTATTTGTTTGATGAACGGACCCTGACTTACAAGAACTGAATGATTCCCAAATCATTTATATTCCATTTTGAGAAAATTCTTGGTGTTTCTGTCTTATGGAGATTCCCAGCATTCTTGTCAGTTATAATATTTCTAAAATAATGAAAATCATTTTAAGGGTTTTACTATTCTTCTCTTCATTCCTAAACGATTCCCCACTAAATATTTCTCATGATTTGTATGCCATGTGGAAATGGCCTTTCAAACTAGCAGGATGCCCTTGTCCGATTGAGATCTGTAAGCTTTCACAGTCAAGTAAATCAAGATTCTCTTTATTCTGCAACGTACCAATTAGTGTGTGTAGAAAATATATCAGCAAAATTTTAGATGCTAATAGCTGAGCGCCAGATACTTTGGAGCTAACTTATGTACGTATTTTGAAACCAAACAGTATTTCTACCATCATCTTGCCTAATAAGCAAGCAAATTTTTAAGACCATTGTTCTACGTTATTCATTTCTGTCATCATCTCTGTGAAGATACACTATGAATTTGCTGTGATATAACTATGATATTGTCAGTTCATTTTAAAAATCTGTTCAAGCTCAAAATTTAAGACTAAGAAACCAATTTGAGGTGATGCACATTCTGAAATTAAATTATTAGGATTTCTAATCAAGAAGGTATGTAACAGTTGGGGGTCTGTATACACATCATGTTCTCACAATTTATTCCTCTGGAGAATATTCAAGTTCTTACAAATTTAATTGGGAATGAATGAAACTATAAGCACTGAGTTAACTATAAGCTATCACAATTTAGATAATTTAAGCTGAGCTGTATGTATTTGTATGTTTCATACGTATAAGCCATTGTCAAAAAATATTGTCTGTTTTATGCCACAGATGTTAGGCAATTTATGATACTGTCTCACATATTGCATTTGTTAATACAATGTTGCTTTTATTTAACTACTAGATGCTTTCTGCCTTACCTGAACTGTGCACACTATTAAATTATTCTGATAGGTCAACAAAAATCATCAAGGTTGTGTGTGTGTGTGTGCATGTGTGCATGTGCGTGTGTGTTTGTGGACACGTGCTCTGTGTTTGAGGACACCATACTAGTGATTAAGACTTTAATTACTTGGAACTCAGTCCCTGATTCAGAACTCTTGATCCAATATTAGTTATTTTAATGTAGATGAGACCTTAAAGTATATAAAACTCTGTATAGATGGAAAGTAACGCTGGCTTTTGACATATGCTTCAGGTTGCGAGAATAGGCCCAATTTCTCATGTGAAGGCAGCTAGTTCCCTATCTCACATTTTAAAGGTTGATTACATTGTCATGTATTTTTATACCTGGATTTCTTCTTCTTCAAAGAGTAGTGATGTACAGAAGAAAAGCCAACCTTCTCCTTATGAATAAGAGATGATTAATGTGTCCATTTCCAAAACATTTTCTCTTTGCTTCACATCAAGTTAATTCTTTAGTCATGAAAAATAATTTAGCCAAACAACCGTTTGCAAGATAGTAATATTAAATTTTCATATATAAGCCCTACCAATATATTTAAATTTTCATTTTTCATGAATCTAAACTCTGTTAAAAATTTTTATTAAATTAATCTGAGACTCATAAAATGACTTTCCATGACATCGAGATAAAGAGTAGACTTGGTATTTTTGTAACAAACTTACTGGAAATTTATTTTTCTAATGCCCTCTTGCCTTTTGTGGGAAAAGTTTTACAAAAGCTCCAATAAAAACGCATTTACCTCAAGAATTTAAGTGTTAAAACCTAAACTTTTTGGAGTTATCCCAAGACAAAATGATTTATCATCTACCAAATTATCATGGCTTAGGATGTGACACTAAATGGTCTATTACTATAGATTTTCTTTTACTAAGCTTTCATCCAGTTAAAACCCAATACTTCACATCAAAAATAAAATTAAGCATTATTAATTCTTAACTTTCACAGATGAAGCACTGACCTGTTGATTAACCATTCATCTGCGCTCAAAAAAATGCTAGATTGGGATTTGAAACTTACAAACACATTCAAAAATACTCTTAAAGTTTTATGTTTAATTTTTCAATGTCACTAAAAGTATCTCTTTTAAAATAAACTACAGAAAAGAATTTCTTCCAAGAAAAAACAAAAAATGAGCAACAACAATACAAAAATAAAACAAAACAATGACAACAAAAAAACCCAGAATCCCAAAACATACTGATAGAAATATATGACTTCTCATCAATTTCGCTTCTTTAAATCTTAGAAAAAATAATTAGAAGTTCTCTCTGCCATAATAAGGACAAAGGAATGACTTTAAGTCCCAAGTGACCTCTGGTTCCACTGTGAAGTCTGTGACACTAGGAAGAAGTATCTGCAGAGCTGAGGACTGAGAATAAATCCTACATCAAACTCTAAGCACAACACCCTTCCATCTCAGTGAGAGATCAGTTCAGTTATTAGTTTCTTTGGACTAAAAACATAATGGATTCATATTCCAGCCTTACTCCACTTACTGTACTGAACACTTACGTGTGTTTCTGGATGTGAATTAACACTAGAGATTGGAAACGGCTGCCTGAGCATTTTTGAAAGGAAGGATTTTTACTCTAGTCGTTTTGTTCCCTATATTGTAGTGAAATACTCTTTTTTAAAATTAATGTGACATTAAAAATAACTTTAAAATGTTCTTTTTGTGAATATTACTTATTGGTTGATAGGATTTCTCCTGCCACCTCTTTTTAAAAATTTTCAACCTCTTTTTATGATTCAAATCTGTATGTTTCACCTTAGCTATAAGCATAATCTAATTCTATAGTATTGCTCTTAAGAACACTAATATATCTATACATTTTAGATTTTTAACAGTTTGACTTTTAATATATATTTATTCATTAGTTTAAGAAATGACTAATTCTTATACTCTATAAAATATCTGCATGGAACTTTTAGCATTTTATGTTTACTTAATCTTTTCTCATGAGTGTCAGTTCATGTCGATGTAGTGCCACATAGAATGCATAAAATTTTTGCTCCAAAAAGGACAATTTTATTAGTTGACAAGAACTGGAAATAAGTATCACTGAACCTACAAGTTGATATTTCCTCCTAGAGACTTTTATCATACAAAGCACAAAATGAAAATTGCTGCTTTTATAAATATTCTGGAACTATGAATGCAACACAGTGAAGACAAGATTCTCCTTGGTTTTCTGTAATGACATTAGCATAGGAAACTAAACTTTATTTTGAACCCAGAGTGGTTTTGGTTTTGGTTAGTTTGGTTAATTTGATTTGATTTCTGGTATGAAAATGTATTTTGATTTCTGATTGAGTGGTTGTTTTAAACAATTACTTCATCTTAATCAAAAGAACAGTATCACTACATAGTTCTCATTCTCTCACTATGCATACACTTCCCTTCTGTCTGCCTCTGTGTATTCTCTCTCCCTATCTCTCTCTTTCTGTCTCCCTCTATCTCTGCTCACCATCCCACCTACAACGCAACAGCATGAGACTGACTATGCCTTCTTGAAATGTACATTTAATCCTTCTTTTCCCTGTCGTCATAGTTCTCATATGTCTCAAATATTTGACCTCATACAATATTTGTAAGTCAGAGAGTATGGAATTAATATAGTTTTGCTAGAAAGCAATATTTTTTAAAAAACTGTCAACTAAAGTAATTTCATAGGGTTACCCTTGTGATACCCCTGCAGTTGATAATTTTAACAATAGTTGTTATTAGTTTCACGAAACCTAAATATACTCATGAATTGATAAATTTGTCAAATTTATTAACTTTTAGAAATAGAATAATGAAGTATTGGAGCATAAGTGATCATTTTGCAATTGGAAAAATGTTATCTGGTCACTTGTATCATATGCACTTAACGTAAGTAGCAATACCTAGTATCATCCTACACAAGTATTTGTTAAGCATCATTAATTGCCAATTAATGCTTTGTAAAAGATTACAAAGAAAAACATAATAGGTACAGAAAAACATAATAGATACCTTGTATTTATTTTTATTATTTTTTAGCTTAGATATCATATTGATGCTCCTTTTTTGCCAAGTTACTAGAAGTGCTCTCTCTCTCTCTCTCTCTCTCTCTATATATATATATATATATATATATAAATATATACAGTACCTATATACTCAAAAATGTTAGATTGTATCATAGTTGATCAATGAGGATGTTATAATGTGAAAATAATGTATAACATAAAAATAATTCTGTGGTATCATGTTTGAGTAGTTATTTGTGCAAGCCAAATCCTCTACTTTTCTGAAGGCATATTTTCCACTCATTTCAAGTACAGGCTGATAGTATCTAAACTACTCTGGTAGTAAAACATCCCCTGACCTTCCTGAATTTCCAAGGCCCCTTGGGGTGCTTGTATTCCCATGATGGCCTCTTCCTTCTTATCACTGTGGCTATCATTCTTAGCCATGTTATCATCTAACTTTCTGCAACTAAGCTAAACCTTTCCCTGGTCAAATAGACTCAAATCAAGACAATCAAATTTCTGATGTTCCATCTCAGAATCCTGTAAAATACACAGTGCTGCCATTTATCCTATAAACTCTCCAGTTTATTCTATTTATCATGTATAGGTCTGTGACCTAATATATATGCTTAAATTACACAGGTTTAAGTGTTTTTATTCCATGCATTTGAAACTAGAATAATTGACATGATTCAAAATGAAGGTCTCAACTAACTTACAGGTAGTCCTCAGAAACAAATGTAAAAATGTGATGTTTACGTGAACAATTTGTTCTTTTATCTACATGTATTGATTTTCCTGTTAACATATGAGTTAAAATTCCAAAAGGTAAGCCTGTTTCTTAAAGTTACTTTTATTCTCTCACCCAAAGATATCCTCCCTCCAAAAGGAACCATGCCTTTATAATTTATATTTCTTTGTCTCAGGCAAATGCTCAAAGGAACATTTATATACTCTCACTATGCGTACA